TAATCATCCCAATGATTGTGAGGATTTGAGAACTCACGTGATGTGCAAAAAATGCAGTCCTCAAAGATCTGGAGTCTGCATGCAGTAGTGCAGTAAGCTCCTCAGTGTGTCAATTTTCTTCATTTCTCGAAGGCCGGTTTTGGAAATTAAAAGTGCGCTAACCTCCAGGGACGCAAGTATGCGCAGAATTTTTTTGCTCCGAAATCAAGTGTAGGGTCAGCACTAACTACTACAGTCGGTCTGCACGTGTGCGAACCTACGCAGGGCCTTTATTTTGAGTCATAATTGTAAAATTTCCAGTCAAAAAACCGGAGCTGTGGTAAGTCTATGGGCTTCTCTAGAGGTAAGACAAAGTAAAAAATAATCATCTTAACGATTATGAAGACTTGAGAACCCACATGACCTGTAAAAAATGCAGTATTCATATTCCCAAGGATCTGAGATCTGCAGCAAGCTCCTTAGTGTGTCAATTCTTTATTTCTTGAAAGCCGGTTTTGGAAATTCAAAGTGCCCTAACCCCCAGGGACGCGAGTATGCGCAGAATTTTATTGCACTAAAATCAAGTTTAGGGTTAGTACTAACTACTACAGTAGGTCTGTATGCGTGCGAACCGGCGCAAGACATTCATCTAGAGCCATTTTTGTAAAAATTTGCTTGGAATTAGTAGAAAATAACGCTTTGTCTAATGGCTTGTCTAGATGTATAGACACGTTTTTGAAAGATAGTAAGAACGTATAAACCTTTAACATGCCTTATATTTTTGATACACCATAACAGAACACTTCACATTTGCATCTATTTCTGTGTGATGAACTTCAAATCATAGGACCTGACAGTAAACACTGAACACTGGTGCGGGTCCGCCTAAAAGTACCTCGCGGCCTCACCTTTAGGTGCTTATCATTTCCTTATTAGTGATCCAATCTTCATGATATTTGGCCAAGTTACTCTCGAGAGTATGCACTATCAATCTGTGGTGTCAAATTTTAATTTTTCCAAAATTCATTTTTTCGAATTAATGCCACCTAGATCGGGTCTGGGAACCAATGTGCGTCGTGTAAACCATCAGCCGTTGCCAAATTTCCTTGGATAAATCAGAAGTTTTCGGGGTAATTCATAGATATTTTTATTGAAATTTTTCAAAGAATTTTCTTCGTAATTTCGTCGCCTTCCTGACACAAGGGGGTAACTACACTCTGTAATGAGCCCTGTCTTCCATACATATCGATGCTTTTCCGGGATCACCTCAATGTGTAGTTACGCCCTTTTGTCAGCCAAGCGACGATTTGATAATGAGGTGATTCGATGGACGCCATATTTTGTGTCAGAACGGCATGCGATACATCGCGCCAATTGGTTCCATTTTTTCAGCTACTCATCATTTTTCTCCAATTTAAGATCGCAATTCTGTTGTCAGGAGACTAAAGCACTCACTTACCAATTTTAACAAAGCAATTCAACGTAAGAAAGGCGTGGTTTTTTCAGAGAGAAAACATCGCATTCGATACTGATATCGAAACTGCAGTCGAATGCGATATTTTCTATCTAAAAAAACCACGCCTTTATTACGTTGAATTTCTTTGTTAAAATTGGTAAGTGAGTGCTTTAGTCTCCTGACAACAGAATTGCGATCTCAAAATTGGAGAAAAATGACGAGTAGCTGAAAAAATGGAACCAATTGATGCGATATATCGCATGCCGTTCTGACACAAAATATGGCGTCCATCGAATCACCTTAAATAATCCGAGGAATAATCGGTGAAATTTTCAGTTAGAAATGGCTCTAATTTTCCTTGTTAATATGCAATTTGCGAGGAGAAATTTGGCAACATTGAAATGGAGTTACATTCTTTCGTGAGGAGGAGGGGGATGACAAATTGACGGGAGATGATTTCGATCCAACGATTAATTTATTTTACAGAGTGTACATATGCAATTTTAATGGATTTTACCATCTAAATGTTTTTAATTTTCAAATTTTTAATTTTTATTTTTCAAAGTTAAATAAAGCAGTCATTTTTCAAATTGAAATTTTTTCGCTTATAAATTATAAATTGTAGGTATATTCTATAGTACTTTATCATTACTACGGCCGTATCAGGTTAAATTTTTATTAATCATCGTTTTAGGTACTCGTATTCTCAGAAAAAAGATAAAGGAAAAAAGAAGGTAAATTAAAAAAAAAAAAAAAAAANAAAAAAAAAAAAAAAAAAAAAAAAAAAAAAAAAAAAGGGAGGAGGTGGGAAAGGAACCGGGACGCTGGAAACCGGAGTTGGGGGAGGCCGCTGCTGGTGGACACCGTCGTACCGGGATCGTCGCATTTTTCTTTTTTTTCCCCCCTTCTTTTCTTTCTTTTCTTTTTTTTATTCTCTGTTGCAGGTGCTGCTGCTGGGTGCCATCGTACCGGGATCGTCGCATTTTTTTTTTATTTTTTTTTCCTTCTTTTCTTTCTTTTCTTTTTTTTATTCTCTGTTCCAGGTGCTGCTGCTGCTGCTGGATCTTCCCGCAACCGAAGGTAAGATACTGTTTTATTCCTCCTCCATAATCAGTTGCGGAGGGCGCTACTTTCGTCTTCTGCGGGCACAGCTGTTTTTAGGAGTATCAAAAACGGCATGATGCCGGCCAAGTTGGCCTAGTGGTCAGCGCGTCTGACTCTAGGTCAATAGGTCCCGGGTTCGAATCCCGGTGGTGGCGTCTAATTTTCACGGAATTGACGAGTAGATCTGCTGAAACAGATTCTCCTCGGCCCTAATCCCTGAAAATTAGAAAAGCCTGGAGCATGGAGCCTGATGTCTACGGACACTAAACATTGTCTAAAGTTGGCTGAAGGTGCAATAGACACGAAGCCATTAAACCAGCAGAAAAAAAGAAAAAAGAAAAAAAACGGCATGGAGAAGTGACAGGTGGATGCATCGGCGTTGGTGAGTGTATTTTTTTGTTTCCTCTTCCCCTTTCCCTCTTCCCCTTCCCCTTTCCCTCTTCCCCTTTCCCTCTTCCTCTTTCCTCTCCCTTTTCCTCTTCCCTATCCCTTTTCTTCTTCCCTTCCCCGTGGATTAGGGCTCTTGGCGACACCACGTTAAAAAAACCGCGCTGTAAGCTCTACCTCCAGGAACAGCACCGTATCCTCTACCTGATCGGGCTTTCCTAAGGTGGTGTGGAAACGAGCTTGTCAAAATATGTTCCTCTATTCCTCCTGTGAGTAAGTAAAATCAAAATCTGAAAATCTTTTCATCAAGTGCTTTTTTTATCTTTTTTATAGGGAGAGCATAAATTCAAAACGTGGCAAGTGCCTCCAGGTGTTGCTACGATTGAGCACCAGTTTCTATAAGTTCAAAGTTCATAGAACATTTCTTCACTAAAATTTAATGAAGGGAAGTATTCAGGTCCTTTTACGCTACGGAGCAAGATGCACAATTTTAGCAATACCGGATGACACTTTCCAGATTTTGAATTTCCACTCTTCACTTATCAATGGCTAAAGGCGAAAAAGTAAAACCTCAATTGTAACGCTTAAGGTGATTCGACGGTTGTCATTTTTTGTGTCAGAGCAACGTGCGATACATCGCATCAATTCGTTCCATAATTTCAGCTACTTGTCATTCGTTTCGAATTTTGAAATCGCACTTCTATTGTCATGAGACTAAAGAATTCATGTATCTAATTTCACAAAGGAATTCAATGTATTAAAGGCGTGGGTTTTTTAGAGGCGTTAGGTTTTTTTTTTTCATTCGACTGCACTTTCGATATTAGTATCGAATGCTATATTTTTCTTGGTCTCCTTAGAATTCTTTAGTCTCATAATGACAACAGCAGTGCGATCTCAAAATTCAAAAAAAATGATAAGTACCTTTAAATTATGAAACGAATTGATGCGATATATCTTTCATCGCTCTGGCAAAAAATAGCAACCGTCGAATCACCTTAAAAAACGTCCGACTCGATCTCAATCAAAGAAAACTATTTGAAATGTTTCATTGCAATTGGCTGTGATTTATTTAGAGAAAGCGATGAAAATATACAGAGAATTTCAATAGGATCTAATGGTTGGTTATCCTTGAAAACATTAAAAAACATTGAAGACTTTTATCATCGTAATCTGAAAAACGCATTTTCCAATTTTTATCAATGCGTAACCGTCAATAGAAAGCGAAACATTAGTCGACGAAAACAAAATGTTTAATGGAGCAATTTCTGTAGAGTTCCGTTGAATAATCAAAAATGGAGAATCCCACATATAATTTGGTTGAAAAATGAGAATCCCGCATATAATTTGAAGACATCTAAGAGCACAAATCATTTTGGACTTATATACCAATCCTATATTTTGCATGGTATTACTCCTCAGCATGCGTGTTCTAGGACTTTTCATTTAGCTGTGCTCTGTAATCACACGTTAAATTTTGCTAATATAATAATCGAGAATTCATATATTTCAGCTTTTACAGAATAAAACATCGGATTCGTTGCACACGTAAAAGAAAGTGATGCTCTAAATGCTGAAAAACGTTAAGGTTGGTTTATTAGATTCTTTGACTTCAGTCATACTCCATTGGCCAAAAAGAGGCAAAGTGACACTCTTTTTTGCAGCGACTCCGTCCTTGCCCTAGAGATTGTCTTTAAACATTAATAAAAACTCGGTTGCTTCTTGAGCAGTATCCTGAATTCTGCCAAACTAAGGATGAACGCCGTAGGAGCCTTCAGACGTTGCCAAATCTCCTGTGATAAAATGCGAATTTCCTGATAAATTTATGAATAAATATTTTCCTCCTAATTTTTCAGATAATTTTGTTCGCAATTCCACCAAAAGATTCTGAAAATTTAAAGGAAAAATATTCATAACTTTCCCCAAAAATAAAAATTTTATCGAAGGAAATTTGGCAACTCTCACACGTTCAAACGGCGTTTTTCCTTAGTACGGTAGTATTGGTGCGGGATTAGAAGTAAAGTCTGAGATTGAAGTGAGCGATGAGACTTGATAAAGATTAGTTCACACACAAGAGTGACAATTAGAAGGTTTACTCGGTGACTCAAGGCAACCATACATATTACAAATGGGCATAAATATTCATAAATTAATCGAGTAATACTGCAAGCATCACTGTAATTTTACATTCAACATAATATGTAAGGTTTTCCTCAAGGATTCAAAGTGACCTTTTATACGCATTAAGCATTGAAATGCTATATCAGTGGTTACTTTAAAAACAAAGTTTAAACACTAACAATACGTTTCCGAAACTCGCACCGACCAAAAATTTCATCCATGACTCATAAACCCCCCTCCAGCCTGACAACACAGTTTGATGCACACCTTTGATTTTGCAGCTCTATCACATTCTGTAAAAATAATTAGGAGCTCAATATTTCAGTGAAAGCTCTTTCCCCTGAGTGTTCAATTTAATCGACAGTTAATCGTTTGAAAGAACCCTCTGTCCCCATGAGCCAGGAGTTAGTTGAAGACGGAGGTCGTAGATCCTCATTTGATCGGATATTTTCTTCTTCCTCGAACCATTTTTTGTACGACTCGATTTTCCTCTGGTATGCGTCTGGAAAACAAATTAAAACAATCAACCGAAAAATCAATTAATTTTCCAAAAGTTTAAAAATATTTTTAAAAAATTAAGAATAATAAAAAAGTGTAGAACCATATTTTTTTCAAAAAATAATTAAAAGAAGTATTTAAAAATATATTTATTTAAAAATATTAAATTTTATATTATGGAGTATTTTACGGGAATTTTACTGGAGTATAGAGCGATCTTATTGATTGAAATAGGTGGTTTGGTGGTTCTTATAAACTAAGGGAGAAAATTATGGACTAACCAAAGGGTGTCTCGTGGGTGACCGTTGGGGCTGCGATAGAATTGCGCGAATGCCCCCTCTTTTACCTTTTTGGATATGCGTAGGATTGCGCGAATTTCTCTGGTACTGAACACTCACATGATTGCGCGAATATTCGCTAATCTGGCGTTCAAGCGTTAATCTGGCAACCATGGTGGTTGGTGGTATCGAAAATTTCGACGCGATGTTTCCGTTCGTTATATTTTCTTTTAATGTAACCAAAACAAAATTAAATATCATCTGAGTTTCTGAATTGTTACAATGAGGATACATATTTCCCCTTTAATTATGGTAAAAACTTGAGCAGAAAGTCAAAAATGATGACTCACAGTCCAACAGCATTCCTATACATTCTTGTAGGCGCTAATATGCATTTCAGGCCAACAGACCGACTGCACTGCGTTTGGCGCAATGCGAGAAGTATTCATGCAGTCTTGTAGGCGCTGGTATGGGCTGTGCGCCGACCGCACAGTTTGGCGCAATGCGTGAGGTATTCCTACAGTCTTGCAGGCGCTGATATATGCCGGCTGCACTGTTCGGCGCGATATTCGAACTGCCGTTACAATAATCGCGGCATCGAATGATAGAACTTAAAAGGCCCATGTTGTATTTTGACGCCGTGCCGCGCCGCATTAGCATTTCAACGTTGCCTCGTTTCTCCATAATAAATATTTTTTTTTTCCGAGAAAAGTTAGGTAAGTTCTTTATACCCTCGACCAATATTCAATCATGACACTTCATTTGTCATCAGAGAGTAAGACATCGATGATTTGTCAACAAACTAACTTGAACTAGCGTAACATAATAATGCGTTAATTTTCCAAGTGTTTCCTGCTTTGCCAAACTTCTACCTTAAATTAACTTCATTTTAAAATTCGCGCAATCCTTGGGCCTTTTTCGCACGATCCTTCAATATTTTAATAAGGCCTTTATAATTTATAAAGGCATTTCGCATAATTCTGGATTACCGGCTGTTCGTTATAGTCTATTACCTACCTACTTTATCCATTGCAACCACCCGCTTCCTTTCATAGGATATTTCATCCATAACTCTTTTGACTTCTTTGTCTATATCGCTTTTCCTATAAATTTCATGGGATTTGCGATTTGACCATTGATTATTATGTAAAAGTTCGCGAGAAACACGATCGTCCCACTGGTTTTCTCTGAAATCAGCTCCCGAGCTTAAAAAAAGCTCTCAAAGTGAGACCAAAATGGAGGGGATATCCCACCCTACCCTGAGAGTCCACCTCTACATCAAGACAAACTCTCCATGCAAAGATAGGGAGCAAATACATTAGCAAGGTTGCCACTTTATTTGCCAACTGCAATTTTTTCTGCCAAATTTTTTTTTGCCAACTGAAAACACGGCATTACTGCTAATGTATTTGCTCCCTATCTTTGCATGGAGAGTTTGTCTTGATGTAGAGGTGGACTCTCAGGGTAGGGTGGGATATCCCCTCCATTTTGGTCTCACTTTGAGAGCTTTTTTTAAGCTTGGGAGCTGATTTCAGAGAAAACCAGTGGGACGATCGTGTTTCTCGCGAACTTTTACATAAGAATCAATGGTCAAATCGCAAATCCCTCACACATGCAACATCTCCATTTCCATAATTGGCCCACAGATCCCCGCCCCCCTTTTTTAATAGGCCCTTGGTAGGATTCCGTAAATATCTCACCACATAGCTCATCAATGGAGGCCTCCTTCCCGCCGAGGTCACTGGGGAGGATATCCTGGTCACCGATGACCTTGTACAAGGCCTCGAGGTCCTTGTGGATGAGGAAGCGCTCGCGGAGTTTGGGTTTGACGAGCATCTTGAAGAACTCGGCCACCTTGTCGATGAACGGCGGGACGTGGACGTAGTGGACGCCTTTGAGCGTGGCCGGCATGACGTTCTCGACGAGGCTCATGAACGTCCTCGCCACGGTCGTCAGTTTGAGGAAGTGCCGAAAGGAGAACCCGCGGAAGTCGACCACCACCTCGTAGTCCAACCGGGCTGAGGCCTCTTCGCAGAACATCACGTCGAACACCTGGATGGGAAGTGCAAGAGGGCGTAGTTCCATAAAAGGTAAAGTACCTTTTCATAAGGTCCTTTTTATTGAGGCCCAATAAAAGGTTGGAGGGAGGGGATTGAAGCGGAAATGTTTTGGTTTCTGAAATGAATTCTACTCCCAAGTTTCGAATTTTTCGCTATCCAGATATAGGTCTGCACGGAAAAGAATTTTCCAGGATGGTTATGGGAGCATTATATCAATAATTTCCTAATCGGGTTTTTATTTCAGACAACTAGAATTCCAATTTTTTCAGTGGGATTCTTACTATCGTAACAAGAATTATACGAAAACAGGAACTCCGAATGTCTCAAAAAGAAATCCGATCGGCAAATTATTTATTGGAAACTTTGTCTCCAAGCTGTCGCAATTATTCCGGATGATCGCCCTGGTAAAAATTGGCGATAAGAGCTGCGTTTCAAAATACCATAGGAGTTCTTATAGCCGACTAAAGAAGGCTATTGAAAATCATATAGCTGGCTGTAGAAAGCGGAGCAAATCATATAGCCGGCCTATACGAAGCTGTAAAAAAGTTTACAGTCGGGCTATAGTTCCTATCGCCGGGCTTTACACTTTATCGCCATTGGCTATAGACAAGCAAGGCCAAAAGGCTATAAGACATTGTGTAGAAATTCGTGTGCTTTGGAAATAATTAAGTTTAATAAGGAACTACCTTAATATTTACAAAACACACATTATATTTTCCCTTAAAACATATTTTTTTTTTCATCAATAAAAATTAGAATAATCCATACAGAGTGTGCAAACATTTCAAAATCATGAGTTGAAAAACGCTGACTCCACGAGATTAAATATTAGATCCTAACACAAAGCGGGGCGGCGACGTACTGGCGCCTACAAACCTAACAGGGATACTTCACTCATTGCGCAATGCGTGAAGTATCCCTGTTAGTTTTGTAGGCGCCAATGCGCGTTTCGTGTTCTCTGCCCGCCCGCCGCGCCTCAGCGTGCCACGGCGTCTGAAGCAACTATTTCACACCAGAGGTATTGCACAGTATCAAAGAAATTGAAGGCGCTCCAACATATTAAGAATGACAGGCATCCTTCAAAAGTACGGAGCTTTCCTCGCAAAATAAATCAAGATACTATGGCACAAAAAGAGAGCGGTAGTCCAAAAACTTACTTAGTCCTAGTATCCGTATTTAATAACGTTCAGCATAAACTTTATCGTCTGGCTGTTGCTTAATCGCCATCGGCTATAAAAGGCTGTAAGAAATTATACAGCCGGCTACAGAAGCTATTGGAAATCTTACAGCCGGCTTTAGGTCTATGGTATTTTGGAACACAGATTCTACTGCCAATTTTTACCAGGGCGGGGGTCAAGTGTGCTTATCAGCAACATCATAGGTCAATTTTTCTGAAGGGAGAGGAGGAGAATTAGACCCCTGGGGGACACCGTTTCCTAAGATCATAACCACTATGTACTACATTACCATGAACATGCGTTTCATGTAGTCCGAAGGGATGAACTCGTCCGGGTCGCAGTCCAACTTGCAGATGACGACTTTGCGTCCCTTTGGCGTGGTCCTTGGGAGCGGGAAGAAGGGCGTGGCCCTGGCGGCGAGCCTCATTTCCGGGGCGCACGGGTCCCTCTCCTGGAACACAGCCGGGAACCCCGTCCTGGCAGAGTAGTAGTTCTCGATCTTGGACTTGGTTTGCTGGAGCCGGAACTTGCAGTTGACCAGGAACTTCTTCAGCACTTTCCGGTCCTCGATGTGGGGCAAGTGCGGTTGCTTGAAGAGCCACTCCCGGATGCTTTCCACCATTTCCGCCACCCGAGCGGGCTCCGGGTTCTCGGAGTCGGACATCGCTCACTGGCCCGGAGACTTCTCGACACACACACTGAAAAAAAAATTTCGGTGTATTTACCAAGAAAAGGGTAAAATTACCAAGAATTCGGGGTTCTATTTGATCCCAGTTTTTTCTTGGTAAAATTACCATTTATGCAATTGGTAATTTTATCGAGAAATCTCGGTAACATTTTTGAACATTCTCGGTAATTTTACTGGACCTTGGTAAAAACGCCGATATTTTTTATCGGCTGTGGTAGAATTACCGAGATAAATGGCAAAGTTACCCGGAATTGATTACCTATAAAAGTGGTATTCTTACTTGAAAAGAACAGTAAAAATACCGGTTTTTAGGTAAGCTTACCAGTCTGTCTTGGTAAAATTACCAATAATTGGTAAAAAAAAGTGAGATGGTAAAGTTACCGACGGACCTTGGTAAAAACGCCGAGAATTTTTTTTCAGTGCAGAAAACGGCAACATTTAAAAAATACCCAGATGAGAATGAGCATGTTGGTGGGTGAAACATGCATGAAAACAACATGGAATAATGTTGGTACCATGCACGTGCCATTTTTGTATCATGTTATCTTGTCGGTACCATACTGCCGTGCTGTAGGTCTGCACACACGATCAAATTCCGAACCGATTCTGATCAAAGTAGACCTTTAGATGACTCATGGTCGCCTTGCAACAGTCCTCTTTGATCAAAATTGGACGGACCGTCAAATTTTGATCAGAATGGAGTACCACCATTCATTATTTCCTGCCACAGGAAACATTTCTGCCTAGTTTTCATTGAAAAACTAAGCAAATTAATGATTTTAAGACTGGTAACTCCCGACACTTTGATGGTAATTAGTTTGGGACTTTGATCGTGTATCAAGATCTTAAGGAAGAGTGCCGTATGAAAATTCAAATGTTGCCAAGTTTCCCATATAAATCATGCGTTTTCAAGGATATTCTTGAATATCTTTCCTTGAAATTTTCAGATATTCTAGATTAAATTGCCAACAAAATTGTCCGAAAATTTTGGAGAGAAATATTCACAATTTGTCCAATAAACTCGTAGTTTATTGGAGGAAATATGGCAGCGTCTTAAGGCGCATACGGCGTTCTTCCTTAGCCCGGCAGCATATTGATGCCATGATATGTTGATACTAATATGGCCCGAAACCGCTAATCTAAAGATGGCATCATCACGATCAACTTGGTATATTGGTAATATAAGTTTAAAAAAGAGAAAGGGAAAAAAGAAGACGAAGGGGGAAAATGGATAAAAAGTTAAATGAAAAAGAGAAGGAGAAGTCCGAGGATAACAGTAATGAGGCGAAAAAGGTGCCGAAAGACGTGATTTACCTATCTGTGACAGAAAAATTAGTTCCACCAATAATAATCTTTATTACAACAGCCACAATACAATCTACTAAAGAATATAAAATAAATAAACCCAATAGAGTTATTAAACAAATGTAAACGATATGACGAATGTTGATACGATCAATATAACCGATATGTCAATGTTCGATAGGATCGATTTTTATGGCATGCCACTTCGATGAAAAACCACCTCGACAGACGTCTTTCCGTAATCCATCCGTCAGAAAAACTGAACTAATTCTGAAACTGCATGTGGCCGTCCATTGCTGGTACTGGTCAAGGTTCTGGAGGGAGGGGAAGGGTCAAGAGGGTGCTCGACACTACCTAGGGATGGAGAGGGGAGAGTGTGGTACAGCTGAACATATTTTCAGCGTAAAATGGCGCAAATCTTCCACTTTTAGGAAAATTTCGATTCAAATCGGCGAGGATTTTTAACGTAATTTTTAAAGGAGGATTCAAAAGACAGCGCCTCAAATATACAGCTCGCATGAGTCACCTGAGGGGAGAAGGATGGTCAAAAAATCGAGGCAGAAAGCCTGACTTCATATATGGAAAGGGTCTTGTGAGCTACATTTAATTTAGCAGATCAATATTTTTTTAAAAGTGACTTGAGGTGACGACTACTCTGAAATACACCGAAAGACTTGAACGCAAAACAGAAATGTTAGAGGGAATAAAAAAAATCAGAATAAAAGTTATAAAATTCATTTCTGAGAAGAGACTGAGAAAAACACTATCCCTGTCAGTAAAGTTGCCAATTTTTGCATTGAATTTTAATATATTTAATTACATAATCTTATGTGGTTTTTTTTAAGTGTTCTTTTCACTAAAAAATGCTCAGCGAAAAAATCTGTTAATATTTTATGAAAAAATAATCCTCGAGTGAAACGTTTGAAACACTACAATTACTTAAATATCTCTCTACATATTTTCACCATGAAATAAATCCCACTTTTACACCGAAGAACTTTGATCATCATGTGTATTGTTAGATCCGCAAAGTAAGTTACCAAAGAACTCTTGATTGGGAAAAACATATAAAATTGAGTGGTTACTGCAGACTTTCGCAACCATACCTGGATGTATTATTCACGCTTTCAAATTTTAATAACATATTTTAAAGAAAGGTTCAAAGAAAATAAAAAAGAAAGCGTTTAAAGAAAGCGTTCTGCTAAACATGCAGTATGATCACCAACTTATTAGTTGATCGGAACATTTTATGCAGAGGCAAGGCGTGAATGATCGATTATCGATATTTCCCCTTTTGAAGTTATGGTAAAGAATCGATTATGAAGGTGTTCGCTGCGAACACCCCATACATCGCAAAACATGCCACGCCACTGTTCAAAATGTGTGATAAGTATACGATATGATGAAACAATATCTATAGTACGTCCTTAACTACGAATCTTAATAGAAAAAACAATATTTCAGACTCTACCTGGGTTTTTTTTCTTGAATTACGAATCCAAAGTTTGCTAAAAAAAAAAAGTGCTGAAAACAGAAAAAAAGTTCACAATCTTTGTAAATCCTAGAAATACTCAAAGTTGTAGCTTCGCGAGATTTGAATTACGGATATTGACAGAAACTATTGCATTTTTTAGCTAAAAAATTGTATGAATTTGAATGTAGTGTATGAAATAAAGAATATAATTTTTTCTTCCATAAGAAAGAGAACCAATCGAACAACTTCCTGGGACGGTTAACGCGTTTTCCATGCAAGCACCACGAGGAAAGATTGCAAAATTGCAATGGATTGCATGGTTAGTTCCAACGATAAGATAACGACAGAAGGACAGTTTTGCATTTCGACGGAAATGATGAATTTCTTTCCTCTAATGATGATGTGAAGACGAGAGACGGAAGGCTGGTTTCTCAGGGTCGATGTTGAGGATCGTACGGACAGTGATATATTCTTCGGTCGTTTTGAGTGGTTTTAGAATTTTACCGGTTATTTCATATATGCCGAGAAATGTAAGTTCAAATGAGAAATAAAAATAGTATGTTGGAATTATTTAGCCAACGTGGGTTAAAAATCAGCATAAAGCTGAGAATCTCAATATAGAGGGGAAAAGCTCACATGAGCACAATTTGCCCTCCAAGAGATACTCTGAATGGTGCAACACTGTATAGTAATGAGACTTTCAGCTTGATGCTGATTTTAACGCACGTTGGCTAAAACATTCCAACTTACTGCCTTACGACCCGCGCCTATACCGCAATCAGTTTGCATAAAAAAAATATTTGAAATTTCGTTCGAAGATTTATTTGAACTCTCCGGAATGCGTGAGGTATCACGCCGCATTTGAAGGCGTTTTAAAAACAGCCAAGTTCCGATACTCGGATTATCTTTTGCATAGTTCATATTCTTTTGTTATATTCCGTACCACTCGTTTATTTTTAATCCTCTTTGAAAAACCAACCATTTGTAAATACAATTCTAGCTGAAGCGCACTTCAGCCATGCATTCACCACTGCAAAAATTTCAGAGGAAATCGACAAGCCCAGCGTGCATGGAGGCTATTTCCATTTAAATCTTCCGTCACATTCTTACGGCGCAATGATACAACTATTTGAACTCTCCGGAGTGCGTGAGGTATCACGCCGCATTTGAAGGCGTTTTCCAAACAGCCAATAAGTTCCGTTATCGGAATAATCGTTTTGCATGGTTCATATGATTTTGTTTCCATTTCTAACCACTTGTTTAATTATAATCCTCGTAGAAAAACCACCCATTTGCTAAATACAATTCTTGCTGAAGCGCACTTAAGCGCATTGACCACTGCAAAAATGTCAAAGGAAATCGGCACGCCCAGCGTGCATGGAGGCTATCTCCATTTCAATCTTCCGTCACATACTTACGGCGCAATGATACAACTATTTGAACTCTCCGGAATGCGTGAGGTATCACGCCGCTTTTGAAGGCGTTTTCAAAACAGCCAAGTTCCGATACCCGGATTATCGTTTTGCATAGTTCATATTATTTTGTTTTCATTTCTAACCACTTGTTCATTTATAATCCTCCTATAATAATTACCCATTTGCTATACATATACAATTCTAGCTGGAGCGCACTTTAGCTATGCATTCACCACTGCCAAAATGTCAAAGGAAATTGACAAGCCCAGCGTGCATGAAGGCAGGCCCGCCACAAGGCGGGGATACTGGCTCCCTGGTACCGCGGCCCGGGCCCCGGAGGAGGCCCGTGTTACCCGTGAAAAACCATTACGAATTCACATGCAACCCTTGTTTCGTAAGAAAAAGTGAAAAATGTACCCTAAAAATCTCGCAAAAGGTGAATAGATTTTCAGAAACACGCTGGGGCACTGTAGAATTCTTCTTAAATTTTCAAAGAAGTATACTTCTTGGAAAATTTCTATCTATTTTCAAGATTTTCAGTACAGAGGGATATTTTTAGTGACTGCGTTTCATTTTTTTCCGTCGTCAGATGCTAAGAGTCTCCAGTCTGGGCGTCCTCGACTTCAATGGCTCATGGCTCAACTCCCTTGCCATAGACAAACGAAGGGGGAGTCCAGGGGGGCCTGGCCCTCTTAGAACTGAAAATAGTATCATATGCCCCCCCCCCCGCAANAAAAAAAAAAAAAAAAATTCCAGATGTTTTGAATGCAACAATTCGCAAGTATTTTGTGCTGAAAGTAGAAAATAAAACATAATTATTCCGCATAAATTGATGGAAAAATTCTTTATGGAAGCTTCAAAATGCGTCCGATTAGTCGTATGAATTCTAAAATTTCTCGGGGGATGCCCCTCGGACCCCCCCCCCCCNCCCCCCCTCCGTGCTTGGGGCCCGGACCTTAAAACTGGTACCAGGGCCCGAGATGGGATGTGGCGGGCCTGGTCTCAGGGACATGTCTTAATGCACATAGTGAGGGATTTACCTATACTTGCCGCCCCCTTCTCATTCGTTCTGAAACATCAATAAAAACCATCAAGTGAAAATGCCAGAGGGGGAAGGGTGTCCAAGACGCGTTCATTCGTGTTGGATACATTTTTTGCGAAAGCCTTGTCAACATTACTAGCAAAATTTCACGGAACTTTGCGCAAAAGTTAAGTTCCGTAAACCTATCTCTGTGTGGACAAGGTCCCCCATTTATAAGAAATGAACCAAAAAATTATGAAAGAACAAACATAAATGTGGTTTAATAATTTTAACTTCTGCCGCTGCGTCGCGCTGATCGCACTGTGTTTGGCGCAATGTGTGAAGTGTTCCTGTAATCTTGTAGGCCCTATACGTTTTACGCCAACCGCTCCTGACCGCACTGTTTGGCGCAATGCGTGAAGTATTCATGCAGTCTTGTAGGCGCTAATATGTGTTACATGCCTACCGCCACGCCGAGGGCTTGTCGTTTTCATCTCAAGTCCTCGTCATCATTCCTCCTCTCTGCGCTGAGCTCCAGGTCAAATTGCGTGTTTAGTTCCTCTCTTAATTCGACTAATTAAAGTTGCTGTCTCTTGTATCACCGAAAAACGACAAAATTAGAAATTACTATACTCTCAGAAAAGAGATTTTGTCCCCTTTTCTCGTTGATAATTTTTTTTCTGAATCCGATTTTTTTCATACCTACGTTTAAAAAAATTGCAAAATTTGCCGCCCCCTAAATTTGCCGCCATGGGCCGCGGCTCATGTGAGTTTGGCAGAAATACGTCTTGTTAAATGGAGGCCCACAAATTCAAATTACCCGGGTCTGATCATCTGATCATTCACAGCGTCGGTTGTTGTTATTGGTTGGTTGCGGAGGGGGAGGGAGTCACCGTGTTATTCTTTTTATCTCTTTTCTCTTATCAGCATGAAAACATTGAATAACATCTTACTTGCTCACGTATAATTCTCAAATATACATGTGCTTTTGTTTACATTACATATGATACATTTCATTTCATGTTCTCTCTCTTTTGTGCGCCGTTTATGACACCTAACCGGATGAAATGTGGCTTCTCTACAATTAGTTGATACCGAAACAAAGTGGGTGCGGAGTACGTGCTGGTACTTTGAGTGTAAGTTACTTACTTACCTTGTGAGCTCTATAAAAGTTTTGGACACTTTTCGTTTGGCAGCTTCCATAGTGTGAGTTGGTATGTATGTATTCAGATTTGCCATTATCTCCTTCCAGATTTTGCCACATTTGCATGCAATTTGTCATTGCAAAGTTCTGGCAGTTGTTAATATCAAGTAATTAATTTTGTTCATCTTCCGCTCCTGGATGGCTGCCTGTTCTTGCAGCTTACCTCAGCCGATTGAAACCTACCTACTTTCCACCACCAGGTTTTTTCCGCATTGGAGCAAGTATTCAAGAAATGTTCTAGACCTCTGATCAAAGAGCAGTGCGGTGAATCGTACGTCATTATGTATACAGATCAGTTCTAGAACATGGTCTTTTATGGAACTGCATGTACCAGTCAATCAAAAGCAAACCCTCAGAAATTAACTTATTGACTCAATGCATATTTAAATTTCTCCTGTCAATTTTGTCAGGACGAAACTTCATATTGACCAACTGCAATCAGACTTTATATCAATTGTTGCCTACGAGAATGGGGAGGCCGTAACAAGTCAGTTTTGTGATGTCAAGCTTGTAGATATTTACCGAAAACAACAAGCATCTCCGGGTCATCGGTGCATTGAGTAAGGCAGTTGCTGCGTGGACCATTCAGAGTGGCCCTCGACTGGCCGAAGTTGCGTGAGTGGCATGTTTGAATCTGAGTTGAGCAACATTTTTTGGTATTACGCTTTCATTTCCTCAATTATTAGACAATGTCAAATATGGGTTAGTTTAGTATTCTGAAGTGGAATTTCATCCTCTATCGAAAAGGTCCTTATGAATTTTTGCATCAGATCAACCTCCGAGAAGATATCGGCCCGAAAGAAACTTGCGTCAGGCGTTCTCCCATAAGTGCACATGTTAAATTGCAGCCGAGTTTCATCCACTAGCGTGACGTTACAGGAACGTATAGTGATGGCCTCTCCATTCTCATAGGCAATGTATCAACCTCTGTCAAGGTTTTTGAAACTGAACATCTCCCTCATGAGTTTATGTCAGGATAACTGCTTCTGTCGGATGCAACTATACAACTCTTTTTTCTTTAAATGGGTGTAGGGGCAAGAACTGAACAATTCATTTATACTTAGTCTGCTTTTCTTTCTTTCTATTCAGTTGCTTTTTTCTTAACGACCTTGTTCTAATTTATTCTTTTCCCATATTTCAGGTCAGTAGTTTTCAAAGAACAGGTATCATTTGCACTCATCATCTCTGTACTTAAAAATGGAGCAAGAAATTCTTCTGAAAGAAAAATATGGCTGCCTAGGAGCAGAATCAGTCTACGTGAAACCTGCAGGTTTGTAATCGTAAGAGTATATCGACGGTGAAACTTCCAAACCACGCATCTCATTTATGGAATTAAAAATTTCCTTTCCTGTTTTATTTCTTTACAAGTGTACAAATCAAAATCATCCCTAAAAGTTATCTTAGAATTTTCTCTCCCCACAGAAGAAAAATCATGGCATCTTTAAAAATTGCAGTCGAGTAGTTTTCCATGTGAAAAATATAATATGACAGGAAGTCTGCAACGTCGCAAGCTGAGATACACGGTTTGAGAATTTCACCGTCTATATATCACCAACTGCCAATTATGTATGGGAGGGGAAGGAGAGATCTCTCAAATCAGCACCTCAGCTATCTCAAGACTCCAGCATTTAAGATGGGAAAATAATTCTTGGGAAAAAGTTAAGTTGCAAGTAGAGCAGTTGGTGAAGTCGGAAAACTTCACCAAGCATCATTCCTAAAGTGTGCTGAATAAAGGCAGACACAAACCATCCTGAATTCTTGAAGCAGTGATAGAGCACCTTACTCAGTAAAGGTGTTGTGGGGTGCAGCTCAAAACAGGAACAAATAAGTGAAGCATTACGACAGGCTTGTTTTACACTCCGGTTGTATTAATTTGCGCTCCTTGCAAAGTTTCATGCGCCATTATCATAAATATGCACTTTGATGAAAAACCGTTTCGGTCTTAAACAAATTATGGATGGCTCCTAAAAATTAGGCTTGCCAGCCAAGATTGGCCCTTTGAATTTTACCTTGACAAAGTTGGAAAACTAAAATAGAGCATGAGCAATATCCAATGAAATCACCGGGACATGGTCCAGGTATGTCTGTTTCTGCTTTAACTTCAATTTTCTCATTAATGAAAGTTGGAAATATGTTGACATAAATGGTGAGTATGACAGTTTGCAGGTAATGATTCACAGAATGAAATTTTGAGAAATAGTCTTTTGAAGTTAGAATCTAGAGACAGCGACTATCTAAAATAATGGAACTGCTGAAATGTTTTAAGACTTTGTGGGAAGTAAAAAATTTTACACACATTTCCATGAAACAAAAGCTCTAAGTTTATGACAGATTGGTTCAAATAAAGTGAGGCATACTTAGATGATTTGCATACATTCTCATCTTATCACAACTGGCCCTTACACAGAAAATAACCAACATATCTACCCATTTGTTTAGAATTTCTCTCATAAGCACAGTTTTTATCAACTGTGGAGTGCATTGAATGTATTGGTAATTTAGTTTACTCATTTCATTCGCCAGTTGTCAACTTTGTGTCCTAATAAATGATGCCTTTTCTACTTGTGGTTTCAGACCAAGACTCTGTCATCCGAATAGATGAGTCTAAAGTTCGCAGTGGCAGCCAGCGCTCAAACATTTTACTATTTTTCAAGCAATTCTTCAATGAGGTTTTTTTACCGCAAGGTTACCCATATACTGTTAGTGATGACTATTGGTCCTATCAGTATTGGGACACGGTCCAAGTATGTCTGTTATTGCATTTAACTTCCATTTTTTCAATTATGAAAGTTAGAAATATGTTGACGTAAACTGTAGGTATGATTATTTTCAGGTGATGGTTCAAAGAACGAAATTTTGAGAGATAGTCTTTCAAAGTTAGAATTTACTATTTTCCTTGATCAAGATTTATTGTAAGATTAAAATGGAACTCTCAATCCTATACAGATTGAAACGTACAATACCTATCACTGCAGCTCAAATTGTCATTAAGTTGGAGTTTTTCCTCGTCACAAGTTCATGCAATGGGGACTTTGCACGCAAATTTTTTATTGCTTCATCTGAGAGTGCTTAAAGAGCATATTCGCAGTATTTTTTATACTTTTTTTCTGACATGGGAAGTAGCAGAAAAATACATTTAAAAGTTAGAAAATGCACTGCCTAGTGATGTCATTTGGCAGCATTTCTCATTTAAACACATGTATTTTAGTAGATTAGATCATTTAGCCATAGCTCCTCCAATAGTAGTTCAATTTATAAACTAAGGGTATCCTCGTGATCAGTTCATCCAGTATTTTCTTCTTATAAACTAAATTTATCAAATTTCAGACACCTGCAAAGTCTCAATGCTTGTCATTTGTTATTTTCCCTTTTTTATAGTTTTACAATGTATTTACTGAAGTTGTAGTCAGGAAAAACATTATTATCATAACCAGTAGAACCTGGATACTTTCAGTTTTTTTATGAACGTTCTGATTTGTGTTTAGGCTTTCTGCAGCTCAATATGTGGGAGCCTCACCACTCATGCAATCATGAAAGGAGTCGGAGTAGGTGACACAGCTGCAACCCCTCTAGCCGCAGCTGTAACTTGGATCCTCAAGGACGGAACAGGCATGACGGGAAGAATTGCCTTCGCTTGGTGGAAAGGGTGAGGCTCTCTATATTTCTACCAAAGAAATGATTAATTTATTTATTTATTTGTAAAGATTAGTACATTAGCCTGAACAGAAAGGCTCAATACAAGTCACATTAGAAAAAGTTACAAAAAAGCGTAATCTTACAAATTTAAAAACTCTTGCAAGGTGTAGAGAGGGTTTTGTAAAAAGTGCTCTTTCAAGGTGATTCGATGGACGCCATATTTTGTGTCAGAACGACATGCGATATATCGCATCAATTGGCTCTACTTTTTCAGCTACTAATCATTTTTCTCGAATTTTGAGATCACAATTCTGTTGTCGGGAGACTAAAGCACTCACTTACCAATTTTTACAAAGAAATTCAACGTAATAAAGACGTGGTTTTTTTAGAGGAAAAATATCGCATTCGAGTGCAGTTTTGTTATCAGTATCGAATGCTATATTTTTCCTCTAAAAAAACTATGCCTTTATTACGTTGAATTTTTTTGTAAAAATTGGTAAGCAAGTGCTTTAGTCTCTCGACAACAGAATTGCGATCTCAAAATTCGAGAAAAATGATTAGTAGCTGAAAAAGTAGAGCCAATTGATGCGATATATCGCATGTCGTTCTGACACAAAATATGGCGTCCATCGAATCACCTTAATACCTTAATGAACAACGACTCAGCTTTGATAGAGATTTCTTTCAATTCTTTGGGTAACTTGTTGAAAAATCCGACAGCCCTAAACTCAAAGCTATCCCAACCCCAGCCCATGTCAACATTTCTCGTAGTTCTCACTAGAATGTTTCTTGTTTCCATTTGATGGTCATTTTTGCTTCTCTCCTTACTAATATATGCCATTTTTATTGTTACCTTGATTGAGATAATAATGTAACGAGTGTAAATTAATGATAAAGAGACAATTATTGCATTGAAGAGAAGTTTTCTCCTTGAAAAATGGTGGAGTAATACTATGTCAACTCTCATGAAAAATGTTTCTGCACCAAAAAGGTATTTCAATTAACAGTAACAGTGAGATTTTTTATCATTAATCTTAATCAAAGGAGCTTATTTTAAAACTTTACTTATTTTTTAATTTGAAAATCACTCAACGTTGTTCTTGAAAACTTTTGTGATTTTTTTTCTCTCCAATGAAAACTCTGTGAAAACTTTAAGGAATGATATTGATTTGTTTTCACTGAAAAAAAAAAAAATAAAATGGGTGCAAAGAATTTAAACACAGCAAACAAGACACATGGTCGGTAGCTTCACTGTTGATTTATTTGTCTTTGGATTTCGAGACGGGACCGTGTCCGTAATGAGAGAATTCGCCAGGTGATGAAGGTTGAGAAAGATATCGTGCACGACGTCATGTCCAGGCAGTTATGCTGGTATGGACATGTGCAAAGAATGTCAGAGGAGAGGTTGCCCAAACAAGTTTTGGATTGGGTACCACCTGGGAAGAGGCGACAGGGACGTCCCGTAAAGGGTTGGTGGCAGGGCGTTGACGAAGGGATGTTGCGGTGTCAGTTGCCCGATAACCTCTGGGAAGACAGGCATATGTGGCGTTTGGGTGTCGTAGAACGCCAGAGTGCGTTGTAAAGCGACTTAATATATATATTTCTTTAGACACCCTGTTTACCACAGTTAGCCCCTCTGCAGATTTAGACAGGCTTTGCTGAATAGTCCAGCGAGCGTAAACATTATTCAACCAAAGTTTGAAACAGGATTTTTAACTTTATTTAAAGACTTTAAAGATTGTACTTTTGTTTGAATGAGCCTGAATATATAATCTGGAGGTTGACATTTTTATTATCTTTTAAGTAAAATTGTGAGGGGTGAAGTTGAGAATTTTGATGCACATCTTCTTCCAAAGTTGAAGAATCACACATTTTCATTATAAGTTTGGTAAATTTTTACTTTTCAAGTTTTTATCTAGCAAATCTGGGATATAACCAAATCCTTGAAAAAATGCCTGAAAATTCAAAATTCTAATACAATGGCATAGGCTGCCCAAATCCCTGCTTTTCTGTCTATGACCGAGGATCCCGAAATTCCTGTTTTTTAAAAAAATATAATATAAAATTATTATCGCTCTTGTTAGGTTTTTTATTTTTATTTTTGAAAAACAATATATTTGTCGTTTTTCCTAGTACATTATGATGATATTTAGTAATTTTTTCCATTAATAGATCAAGACTTGATGCAGAGTGCAAAGCTTGGAGACTTATGGCTGATGTGCTCAACGATATTGCAATGTTAGCAGAAATGCTTTTGCCCTATGTTCCTAACTATACTACAATAATACTCTGTGCATCTCAGTCTGCAAAAGCTATTGTTGGTGTTGCTGGAGGAGCTACAAGAGCAGCTATTACCCAGCATCAGGTCTGCAGTTTTCTTTCTCCTGATGAGTAGATGTCCAACGTTCTGCTGACTTTCCAACCTATTTTGTTCAAAAATTTAGCTGTTAAACTGAACATTCCATTGTTTCTCCAGGAAAACAATGCATTGAGCATGAAGAGAGTGAAGGTTTGAATTTTAGTGACTCTATTTTTCCAGAATTTCTTCACTGGTACCTAATCAAAAATGCTTCCACCTTCAATTTCTTCGTTTCATTAAGATGTCCAAGTAATGCCAATTTTGGCTTGAGGTGATTCGTCAAGCTCAAATGGCGTGGTTGAACTGGAATGCGATATATCACATCGATTAGGTAAAAAATCTTGACAGATTTTGAATTTTTAGCAAAAAAAAAGACAATAGCCTTTTATCACCCATCAATTTCTGTATCGAATGCGAGGTTTTTTCCTAATACTATTCTGCTTTCATTTCTCTGAATAATGCCAGTTTTTGGGTTAAGAATAATTCCTTAGGCTTATGCGCAGGGGCCATCGTCCTTTTTTTTGCTAAAAATTCAAAATCTGCCAAGATTTTGGACCTAATCAATGCGATATATTGCATGCCAGTTCGACCTTATCACTTGAGCTTGACAAATCACCTTGAGTAATATGTGTCTTTTCTAAAAAATTCAATTTGTCTACAATATCCAATCAAAAGCCCAGTTTCATCAGTAATTTCATTTCTCCAACCAATATCGAATTTTCATTTTCTTTGTTCTTGGCAAATTTTCCTAAGCCTATAATTCGCCTAATGATATTTGATTAATGCTCAGGCAAGCATTTTGCTTGGCAAGTTTTTGAACCGTAAGTTAAATTTGCTTAAATAACGCTCAAGACTTTGGTTATCAGACATCACTAAGCAAATCTAAGCGATGGCTTTTGTACTTAACGTTATCACACCACAGGCAAGATAGCACTGCATAGTCTTTAAAACATACACTCTAGGCTCTTTTTTTTTAAAAAAAAAACCTCGTATTTTCTTCTGTTTTTCAGATTTTAAAACTTTTCCCTCATATCGTTTTCCGTAATTTTTTTTTAAACTATCCATTACTTATTTTATACAAACTAACTTTTTCATTTTCAAAACTTCTTCTCTTAGCCCTCTAATTTTTCCACGCAACTTGCCAATTGGATATTTGAGGAATTTTCTCATATCTACGTACAGTAATTCCCTCACCTCACTGCTAGCAACCCACCAAAAACACCCGATGACAGTTTCAAGATAAGTGAATTTCAGTCAAGTGGAATCCAATATCCCAGCTTAATGCGCATCTATTGCCGTAATATTGTTTCCATGGGGATACCATGGGATTGGAGGAAAATTCCAACTTAAAAGATTTTTTACTTAATTTAATTCTGTCGTAATGGGCCTCTCTTGTTTCAAAACATTCAATATTTCTCTCTTGTGTGCTTAAGTTTGAACTGTTTGTTTTCAATCAAAATATGTATAATCAGTAAAAATGTGCAGGTAAAGTGAGTTTGCTTTACATGTTTTTCTATTCTATGTTGTAGGCTATTCGCGGAAACATGGGAGACGTATCTGCCAAAGATGGAAGTCAGGAAACTTGCATTAATTTACTCGCTTCCTTTGTCGGAATTTTTCTCCTAACAACTGTGACAAATGCTTTGTAAGTTCATTTTTACCCTTTATGAGGTTTAGAATGTAAAAAGAGGGACATGAAAGTCGCAAATTCTTGACCAAACTGATCAGCTAGAGTATGTCAAAATCCTACCAATGACCATTCAAAGAGCCCTCTTCAAGTTGGCCTTCTGGAAATAAAGAAAGCCGATATAGGGGTATGCCTTTTTATAAGATTGAGCTCTGCTTGTCCCTTTGCAATGTCCTGATGAGTTCTGAAGCTTTTAAGCTTCAATAATTGACCATATAATGAAAGAGCAATTCATCTTATTTTAGACTTAAAACTCACATTCTTTTTATCTTCTGAAGTTTAAAAAAAAAAAATAAATAATAATTCTTTGAATTTGTAACCAATTTTTGATCTGCACCTATGAAGTTTACTGCTCGTCCTTACCCAGCGGAGAGGCTAATAGAATCAAATATAGCATTTTCATTTCCATTTTTGAACTGTGGATCGAAAATGCATTCATAGCAAATGTATTAAAATTTGGCACAGAAGGTGTACCTTCAACTCAAAATCAGAATTACTTAGATTTACTTTGTCAGATTTTAATTGGTGTGTCAAATCAAGGTTGCACTCCACATGAGTAAAATTATGCGACTATTTACTTAATTTCAGGACGTATAAGGGCAACAAGCCTAATAATTTGTCATGCTGGTATGAATACTTTTCAAAATGCCTTATTAACATTCAATTTCTTTTTTTTTCTAACTTTAAAATTCTGCAGCTGTGTCTGGGCACTTTTTATTATTCTTGCAAGCTGTCACATTTATGCCAATTATCAGGCTGTGCTTTCCCTACGATTGGTCTCACTAAATACAGAACGAATGAATTTGATTCTTAAGCACTATTTCTCGTCTAAAACTGAAGTTCCAACTCCCAGAGAAGTCAACGCTCAAGAATCCATTATTCCAGGATCTGGCCTAACCAGTGAGTAATTGTATGTCAAAAAGAATATTTTTATTTTGATCCATTGCAAACATGTTAAAATAGATGTAGCGAGGTTTTTTTAATAACGAAAGTAAATGCGTGAATTCGTAATTCAAAAAATGTTAGAAAAGCTAAACTTATCAAGATTTTGCTTTCATGTTATTTGAATCGGGGCGTGCGAAAACTGCTAATGTCCATTTTTCCAATCTTAAGTTTTTTGAGTTCATAATACTTCTAAAGATTTGACACAACCCTAAAAGTGAGGAAAGGACTCGTTTTGGGATTGAGGAAACCCAAAGACAAGCTTTAATGCCACTTTCGTGGTTACAACCACCTCCAAAAAGCATTATGAACTCCAAAAAGCTTAAGACTGAAAAAATTAAAATTAGCGGTTTTCGCCCGACCCGATTTATTTCTCATAAAAATATAATGAATGAGAAAATGAAATGTATTTTGCAGGTATAAATTCAATATCTTTTCCCCAGAAAAGAAATGATAATTTATACATTGTGCCTCGACTTTTATTGTAGCATCATCCACAAATGTTAAGTTCATCATTTCCCACCGTCCGTTTTTTTTTTTTTTTTTTTTTTTTTTTTTTCATTTTCTGAGTTTCATCCTGAAAAACCACAAAGAAATGATCTTTAAATTAAACTGGAGGATTTACCCTACTTTAATGAGCTCTATTAATAGTCGGTTTTTTTTTGTCACCATGTCTTATTTTATTTATATGATATAGGTAGCTTCATATCACTCCCTGGCGCTTTACGGCACCTAACCTCTACTGCCACCTGTCAAACCATAACCCTTTGGGCATTTAGCATCTTAAAATTTAACCTCGAGGTGTCTTTTTTTATACCAGTGAAATTTTGGACAAGTAAACCCTAGCTTGTACAGACTTAACGTTTGTAATCCTTCTAATAGTTTTTTTTAATTGATTTTACAGCTAAGCAGCTCTGTGGATTTGACATTTATCTTGGATGTTCTTTGCAACATTCTTTGAAAAATAGAGTCATTTCTGCTGAAGAGCTGAAATCGATGCCGGAAAAACTTTGTTGCGACAACTTCATGCTTTTGATTGATCCAGAAAATTGTATCATCCGTGTGGTATTTCGAGAACACGAATCAGCTCATGATGTCATCCAAGCCTATTTCACCGCTGTCTGTATGGCTATCATGCTCTCTGTCTCCAAGACAACGAGATTGGTCAGTACAATAAATCCAAACAGGAAATCTGTAAAAATTACAATCATAAACAAGCTCGTCCAAAGAGATCATAATCCTTAAGGATCCTAAAGGATGAGGCATGGAGTCTGATTTCATCTGAAGCGAACAAGTTATACTTACTGCCGACCATTTTGAATGATATTTATTGAAGACAATGCTAGAAGATGGGCGCACATCGTATCAAGAAAAATGCGTTTGAAATGGTGTTCCTACAAATTATGTGGACCAGTCGGTTGAACCTAAGATTATTCTTTCAACCTAGATCCTAAAGTTTTGAAATCCATCTGTCGTAGGAAAGAAAAGCAAAATTTATGAAAGGGTGCCTTCCAAGATACGTCCTTCCTCTGGCATGGTCCTCAATCATCTTTTTCTCTCCCTTCAAACTGAGCCATAAATGCTCCTTCAAAAACTAATTCTGTACAATAGTTTTGAGTCACTACGTATATTGGACAATATTAACAGCATCAACTAGGTGACAAATGTCAAAAGAAATTTTGCCGATTAGAAAGCGTAATAAAATTTGCAGGTGTAAGAGTATTGATTCATCAAGGAAATTATGATAGGATAAGGAGAATTTAAAATATGGCAGTGGCAAGGGATTTTTGCAGGATTGTAGTACGGATTTTTTGCATAAAACTTCGTAAAAAAAAGAAGCAAAAAGTTCATTAAGAAGTGCAAAAATCATTTCAAAGGGAAGAAAAGGCTAACCAAAATTCAACTAATTAAAAGACGATCTTGTAATACTGAGCACAGTCAATCAGCAAACTCCATTTTCCCCTGCCTGGCTGCATCATCAAAGCCCGCCAAAAATATCATTTCGACCAAGTTACATTTTTGGCATTTTCAAAACAGGGTTTTCTTGCCATATAGGATTGAAAAATTGTGAAAAAACTCACAGCAGCTTTGTTCATGTCATTTTTCAGAAAATTAATTGAAAAATGGGTGCCAACTAATCCATTGAGGTTTTTTTTGTTTTTAAAAAAATTCATCAAAGCCAGACCCCATTCTCGATTATTTTTGTGTAATGAATAAAAATGCTTTAACTTTCTCTCTGTCAATGTGTTTTTGCAATACTTATATGTCCTCTTCAGGCTATGAAAGCCCAAGAAAAAAATAGCAATTTATGGAGATAGGAAATGACTTTCTCCTTTGATAGCTTTAAGGCTAGCGCTATCTTCCAGTTGTGTCCATATCAAGTAAATCATGACCAGTCTCTCAGTAGCTCCAAGGTAGCGTTCTTATCGCGTGGTAATGTGATGAATACACAGATGTAGATAACATGATTCTTTGGGCTTTGGTGAGCTTTTAATGAAAGTTACCATAATCAGCTTGGCAAAAATGAGTTAACACAATTAGGAAATTTGGCAAGGAATTCTTTGCAAACATTTTTGAAAATCTCGAGACTTTTCCAAATAAAAAAGTTATTGTCATCTGAAGTGAAATATCTGATATGCTTTTTGCCATAGAGCTCATAATGTTCTTTTCTTGGCTTGTTTGTAACTTTAAAGCAAAATTTTTCTGTCGCATTTTATGTTTACGTGTTCATTTATTTTAAAGGCTCATCTCCCTGATTCAGCCATGATCAACAAAAATCCAGGAAGGATTATGAGTGACATTACTCAACCATATGATTTCCTTGTCTGCACGGGTAAAAGTTATTCTGGAGAAATACCCTCAGAAGAACAAATTGCGAAAGTTTTAGAGTCAAATAATGAAATAAGTAAAACTTTCAAAATCTTCATGGACCTTTTGGAAACTCAAGGTGAGCTCATATTATGTAATTCATTCTATTTTGTGATTATTTCACCATGAAAATTTTGAGAGTCTTACTGGTATCAATTTTACTATCAAAACAATTTTAAACAAGCTTAATAGTTTGGGTTGCTCCTATGACTTATTATTTGTAATCCTTTTTTTGTCTCGATCTTTATTTTATAACTTTTTCAAATTGATATGTAATGGGTTTAAGCTGGTCTCAAGGGTCCTCGTTTTTTATTCATGCCTGCCTGTACATAAAATCTAGCCTTTTTATATCATCAGTTCATTTTTCTAGGTGCAAAAGGAAAAGTTCAGATTATTCGCAAGCGCCCATGGTAAATAGCAAACTGTACGTAAATTAGACATAGAAAAGTGTGACGAATAACTGAAACCTCAAACTGCACAACATGAAGTTATATTCATCAAGAAGCTGCCTAGAAAAGAATCAGAAAGAGGGGTGAAAACAACGCACAAAATTTTTAAGGAAAATACAATTGCTCTAAAACTTGAGTGCATGCATTTTGGTTTTATTTATGGATGTGTTTCACATGCAAGCAGATTTTCCTGCTATCTTGTTTCTTTTAAATGCTATAATTCTGATGTTTCTATTTTTTCTCTCGTAGGGTGGAAGACGGATCGTCACCATTTCATTGTTGATGAGTGGAGAGCATCGTGGCCTTTGTATCGATCAAGTGACAACAGATCAGAAACTAGAAAGAAAAAGTGAGAAGAAAAGTCTAATGAAGGTGGTGTAGCTTATACCCAGGTGAATTCTTCAAAAGGTGTCTAACACCAACATTGATCAAGCATCAGTTGATGATGTCTTGACGCAAGGTCAGTTCTTCCCTCATAGCGCAAAAGCTATCTTGCGCCATGTTAGACCTAAGTTTCTCAGTTTTCATGGCAAAGCAGACACTAATTTCACATTGTCTCTTTCAACTTTAGAGTTTTCAAAACTATACAAGTGAAATTCTAGCCTTCCATACTTGACAAGATAATAGTCCTCAAGGCTATGTTGATTCATAGAGAAAAAAAAAGGAGGTGCTTGCAATTTGGGCATCTTGGAATTTTTTAGATGACGTAGGTCGGCACAGCGACTTTTATCATCGATTTTCTTGGAAGTGGTGTAATTTATGGAAAAAAGTCATGCTATAAAAAGTGCTTGAAATTATATCATAAGGTGATTTAAGCAAAAAAATGGGACATTATGGTCCGTTTTTCATACTTCAAATTCCGGATTTCGCCGGCCAAGTTGTACCGACCTACGTCACAGGGTAAACAAATCTCATGATGTAAACACCTCCTTTTGTTTCTCTATGATGTTGATTCGGGCCACAGAGAGTGGCCCCAGACAACAGCCCAAGGGAAATGTCATGAGAAAGCATCTTTCTCCATCTGATCAAACTTACATTGCAAAGACTCGCAAGTGGTTGCAATAGATGACTATTGCCAACTTGAATTCTTAGAAGAACTGTAACTTTTGCCGCTAGGATCATAAGCACATGGTGATGTAACTGGTCAGATCGCAATATGACCAAAAATTTTGAGGCCTTTTCGATTTGATCGGGCATTTTGCAATGCACCTGTACTCCAACTTCTACTCGTAACATAAACACTCAAGTACTATGCATTCAAGGCAGAATCGATGGTTTCCAACCTTATTTCTTCATTTGCAATACTGGCAATACAAAACACCCTTTCAGTTGCAAACCACACCAACCTCCTCACTCGAAAAATGCTGACTCTTTCAGAGAGCATGGATGGCTCTCTATTTAAGCGGTCTCTCCCAGTCTCCCACTCACGGTGCGTCGGAACGAGTTTAAATTTTTTGACAAGTCACAGCAAAAACTTTTCAGGTTCTTGAAGTAGAGTGTCTACTGAGTCATTTAAGCCAAAAAGAAAAAATCCTGTCAAGCTCCCGGAAAATAAAGTCGATTTAAAGATATTTTTGGGCTAAAATAGCCAAATTACCCATATCAAGGCCCATCATATTATTTAAAAATTTTGTTCTTCCTGGATATAATGCCCAATTTTCTTAAACATGCATATTTTAAGCCTCTGATTACTTATACTACTAATTTTAACCATATGGTGAATTTTGGGGGCCTAAAATGAGCCCTCAGAGCCAAAAATTGCATACATTTTCGAAAACTTCAGATTTTCAGGGGGATGTTTTTTTTTTAACGTTGTTTTTTCTACAGTCGTCAATGAGTAATTCTGAAGGGCTTTTCTGATTACATAATTGATATTTTGACTGTTCAGGTGAAGGGGGAGGGGGGCATCAGGCTTTGCTTTGCCTTTCTCACAGTTTGTGAAAATGCTTGAAAATTCCCTATTACATTGGAAGTCCAAAATATCCCTTTTTAATTCATTAATCACTGCTTCTGATATTATGAAATATGCAGCAGGAGTCACTGCCCCTCCCCCCTCCTCCTCACTACGAAATGCATGTAAACCTTGATCTTACTGCGGGCGCTACCGGATCCTTGCTTTTCGCGTGATGGCAGTCCGTTGTCTAGCATAAACTTGTAGCATGACTTGACTCAGTAGACATTCTACTTCAAGAACCTGAAGAGTTTTTGCTTGTGACTCGTCAAAAAATTTAAACTCGTTCCGACACACCGTGCACCCTCAAAAAGAGTTGGTTTCAGCAATGCCTTTGCCCGCTTTGTTTGATCATTAACGGTTTGTTTCCTTTTTTAGCTTCAAAATATAAATATTCCATTCCCTGGTCAGTCTAAGGGGGCTGAATTTAGTTTAAACCTCATGTGGTCGGTGGGTGAAGTTGGCAGTTAGTTTTGGCTCTGTTTTTTAACACATTTTTTCCTCATGAGTCTCTAGCGTGGTCTGTCCATTTTTCACGAAACCTTTATGTTTTTCTTCCACACCCACGACTGAGGGCGGCAAGTTTTCCTGTCCCCAGACCCAACTTTTGTCCGGCTGCTCAGGTTTTCCAAATTCAATTTTGCATTCACGTTTTAGTCTTGTAGTTGCACATAGTAGCAATTTGTGCTTGTTGCCTTATTCTTCTGGATTAGGAAGGTCAAGATAAACTAAACAAATCTAGTAACGTCCCCTAATCATTTCTGCAAAATTATGTTAGTTTAATTTGATAGCTATATTTTCTAGATGCAGTCTGTGATCTAGTTTGTGATTTAAAAAGTAAATTATTGTACTCCCTTATGCACAGTTCTGTTTTTGCATTTAGATTGTCTATTTTTTGTAAGGATGTTTGTCTTTTGTAATCACATATTTTCCCCATTTTTCATGTTAGGTTCACTGTTGTTTGATTGAATACTCTATTTGATACTGAGACTTTGTTGATATCAATTGACTTTGTCTATATCTTTCTGTCTATTGATGAAGAATATAAATGATAATTATAGTAACCAAACTTAACTGTTTTATTGGTGCATAAAAAGTATTTTTAACTTCTTGAAGTTTTTTGCTGTCATTTCAAATTAAATATCTATTGATGTGACGCTGATGATTTTCTAGCCTTGAGTAGCATTGACTGTTACTTTTGGAATTTATAAATTGTAAAAAAAAGTTTTAAGATGTGCAAGTCAGGAGACCCTGTTTTGTTCTCTTTAAGTAGAACTTATGTGAAGTTGAGATTTACGTTTAAAAAAAAGTTATAAAAAAAATTTGTATCAAAATTTTGTTAAATTCTGAAAATTACTTACATTGATGCTAAACACAAGGTAAACTGCAGAATATATAGCATGAAAAACTAAAATTTTTCGTGAAATTCACTTACATTCTTCGGAAGTTTGTACAATATTCGTGATGAAATTTACTAAAATAAAGTGACAAGAAATGTGTAAATTAGAAAAGTAACAAAATCTTGTAACCTTCTAATAAGAGGGTGAGATGTAGTTCAGACCAAAAAATACAAAAGCTTCAAGAACTTAAAGGTGATTTGTCCTGGGTTCTTGGCCTGATGGAACTGGCAAGCGGTATATCACATGGATTAATTAGAAAGTCCAGGCAGAATATTGACTTTTTAGTCAATTAAAAGACAATAGTGCCTGCGCTTGAATCTAAAGAATCATTCTCATTAAAAAAATGTTCAAAATTTAGAGAAGTGAAAGCAGGATTCTTCTTAGGATGAAAAACGAAGCATTTGATACAGTAGTCCATCTCTGAATCAAATACGACATTTTTTTCCAAAAAGAATCTTGCCTTCATTCCTTTAAACCTCACAATTTTTTTTGGCCTTTGTCTTTTTTTGACTTAATTGATGCTATATATTCGACCAAGCCAAGAACTAAGGAGGAATTACCTTAAGTCTTAAGCTAAAATTTGGTTTTTTGTTATTTTCTGATATCAGGGATATTTTTTAAGGCACTACAAAGTTGCATTCCAGAATCTTTCATCTGTGATAGCTACGGCAATCAATTTTTCTTTTCATGAATTGAGCTCTTTAAAGCCTTGTCCAAGTACATGAAATACAAGTAGGAAGCTTGATTTCTCTCCATCTTTTTATTTTTTTAAACAAAATTTATACCACTATCTCTTTAATCTTATAACACAAATATTTGGCTCTGAAATGTGCAGAGCAAATTCTATGTTTATGGTATGTTGTTTGTCTCAGGTAGGTAATAGTTATTCTTAAGATTGCCATATCTCTGGTTCTATTAGTTTTTATGACATCTCTATTGTTCTTCAAACATAATTTATCTGACTGTACAACTGTGTTTGAAAAATTCTAAATTTTGTGCACTTTCATTGTTGTAAAGTTTTACAACTGACTATTATTGTTTTGCATAGCATCTTTTAGTATAATTCTATGAAGTTTTATTTTGAACGCTCCATAATCATTTTCTTCTCTTTTTTTTTAAATTTCTTAATTGCTTAGGCTTTCATTGATGTGTTTATTTTTGGTTGGGCCGAAAAAGAAAACTAATTGAAAATTTAAAGTATCCAGATGATCAAGAGAAATATTATATTTGAGGTCATCTAGTGTGCATAGCAGCAATAATGTAAAAGAAAAAAGCTAAAGTTATCATTTGAGGGCGTAGATAGGGAAACGGCTTTCATGGTAAAATGGCGTTTTAAAAAAATCTCCTTCTACATCACTACATCAAACCGAAAATTGTAGATATAACTTTTTGGTCCCTGTGTCTGTGAGATTTTCTCCGAACAGAGGGGTAAGTACCAATAAGGGTCGTTTTTGGGCCCATCCTGATTTTCCTCAAGTTTAAGATTTTTTGCTCATTGAAGACTTGTATTTTACAGAGTGCTTCATGACATGGTATTTTCCAGTCTTTTTTTGTTTTGATATTCCTTTTTTGCAGGGAAGAAACATTTTAAGATTTTTGTAGTTTTTGGAAAATTTTACCCGGCTACAGAATTCAATTTTTCATCAATGATGCATAGTGTTTTATAATGGGTATTAAAATTTTGGCCTCCTAGGCTTTTATTCAACATGGGTCTGATGGTGATTTTGACAAAAAATGCAAGTTTAGCGGAATTGCGTTCGAATGCTGTAAAATCCGCATTTTTCTTCTAAGGCCCTGAGACTCTTGTTATGGTTAATATCAGATTTGAAAAGAGACCTGAAACAACCATATCATGATGTATTCTGTAAAATATAAGCCCTAAATGAGTAAAAAATTGTAGAGGAAATTCAGCTACCTTTACGGTGGGCCCAAGATCGATCCTTATCGATACCTTTCCTTTAGATCTCATGGTTTGCAGTGAAAAAAGGTCTTATTAAATCAAGTTGCTGAGAAAAGACCTGAGTTCTATGCCTCATCCTAGGATTCATGATTAATTTTGACTTTACCCAGACAAAATCCAATAATAACCGCCGGTTAAGAGCTAAAATCAGTTATTGTTATCTCAGTAGAATGATTCAAGTATTACCTACATGGTGCAAAAAGAGAGAGACAAAATCTCGGTCTGAATCATTAAGGGGGGGAGGGGGGAGGTAGTAGGTACCTAGCATTAGACTTAAAATGGGCCCAAAATGAACTTTCAGGAGGAGAAGTTAAAATTACTCCTACAGGGCCGGATTAAGGGGGTGGCCACATGGGCCGCGGCTCATGGCGGCAAAATTAGGGGGCGGCAAAGTTTGCAATTTTTTTACAAAAAAAATCAGGTACAAAAAAAATCGGATTCAGAAAAAAATTACAAACAAGAAAAGGTGACAAAATCTCTCATTTCCTGAGAGTTCATTAATTTCTAATTTTTTCGTCTTTCGGTGATACAAAAGACTGCGCACCTTCAAGTAATGAGTTGAGTTAAGAAAGAGAGAAACCAAACACGTAATTTGGCCTGGAGCGGCGCGGCGCAAAGCGAAATGATGACGAGGACTTTAGATGAAAAGGAGAAGCCCTTGACGCGGAGGTCGGTATGTAACACATATTAGCGCCTACGAGACTGCATGAGTACTTCACGCATTGCGTCAAACACAGTACGGTCAACAGCGGTCGGCGCGGCGTGAAACGCACAGTGCCTACAAGACTACATGAATACTTCACGCATTGCGCCAAACACAGTGCGGTCAGCGCGGCACGGCGGCGGAAGTTAAAATAATTAAACCACATTTATGTTCGTTCTTTCTTAATTTTCTAGTTCATTTCTTACAAATGAAAGGCCTTGTCCCCACATAAATAGGTTTACGGAACTGAACTTTCGCGCGTAGTTCCGTGAACTTTTGCTAGTAGTGTTCACACTTCGTGTGGTTCTTACTTGCCCGTGCACCAGGCCCGACTTTAGGCAGGGAAGGTAAGACAGCTAGGGGGGTAAAACAGGGTGAAGACGCGCCTTCAGCCTAGTTGATACCGCCGGATATACGAGCTAAGTGTACCCGTATCAGGCAAACTGATAAGACTGGACTGGCATTTCCAATTTTCCATTGTCTCGGTACTCTCGGTACATGCTACTAGCGTAGCCGCCAGTGTTACCGTTCTGCGTAATTGAGGGCTTTTTTTGCGTAATTGGAGGGTCGCTGCGTAGTGGCTGCGTAATGCGTAATGCTGCGTAATTGGAAGAATTCTGCGTAATTCGGCGTAATTCGTGCGTAATTGAAGTTTTTTAAAAATTTCAGTTTCTTATCGCGGTTTTTAGCCGCGTAGCGTCCGTTTTCCAAGAAGCGTGAAAGTGAAACATTCCTGACGCCACGCCATAGAAGTACTTACAATTAGCCTAATGATTTTGTGTTAGCGTTCATTTAGTTCATTATGCTGGCGCCCTGTCTGACCAATTCGCTCGCGTAATTTTGCGACTCCAACCAAAAAGTAGTCAGCAGGTAACTCACTTTATTTTGACTCACATACTCTGCCATTTTTCGAGAGGTTAGTCGACTTTGTCCTTGGTGTTTTGCCATAGAATAATAATTAGCTAGTATTATTCTATGGTTTTGCGTTAGTATTTTTCGGAACTTACCACTACATAACCACCCTCATCCTGTAACCTTTGCTACATGATGTCCGCATCTTTAGTGTTTTGAGCATTTCGGAACAATCAAGTGACCATCCACCCCTCATGGAACATTCGGTGTCTTCCTTCAATTTCAAGTCCATCACTCTGGGTGAGACAGATCGTATAGTCGAAATGAATAACGTAAGCCCTGTGACTATGGTTGAAATATGTTTTGACTCCATGCAGGTAATAATGAGTAGTGTGTATGGTAAACATAAGTGAATTTAGGCAGCAGCCTAGGGCAGTAGAGGACCCCGCTTACTCCTAATGGAAAAGTGCATCACAATCGATTTTTAATTTTGTTAACGCAGTCAATTCTCCTCAAGATGCTGATCAAAAGTCTTCATTGTGCCAACTTTCTACGATGCACCGTTTTCGCACAGTATGCCCAGAACGCATCAATCATTAGGCGTTAAAGAGTCAAAAAGAACACTGCGTTCGAGAACAGGTCTGTTATGCAAAAGGCAAAACGTACCGAGGGTCTGCCTCCTGATCTATTCCTGCCTACTTTAGGGCTATCTCCCTCCCGCTCTTGTCCGTTTGATGTTCACTGTTTTTCTCCGACTTCCCTGTTCTTATGCTCCTCACGAATCTGATTTGGATGGTCAACAAAAAGGCATGCAGAATCGGAGATAAGACTGCCACTCGATGCTGGAATTCCCCTGATTTTCTTGTTGACACACAGCTAACCGTTCACTCAAGTGCTGAAATGAGGAATCTTTCTGACTCTTATCGCCGAATAATTGAAGCGCTCCGGACGTATCGAGCGAAAACGGTGCATCGTAGAAAGTTGGCGCAATCATGATTTTTTAACAGCATATTGATAGCAGCATACCGATCTGTCGGTACTCTCCCTATACAGGTACTGCATAACAACAAACAAAAACTGCGTAAGAAAAATTCAGAAGAGCTTAGTGAAACAAGAAAAATTATTATTGAATGACACATTTCCTGTGTTGTTTTACTGATCTGCCACAAAACCAAGGGGTACTAAGTAGTGCCGGTTTGGCGCTATTTATTCAGAATACATCAGAATGGGTAAGAAAGAGGAGATGACCAACTAAAACTAATCCACCTCTTAACATGAGGTGCTAATGATTCCTTTTTTTTTCTACAGGTTTGATGGCGGAATGATTCACCATGGACGAAAGTGAAGCAAACAGTAGTTTTAGTGACTCTGGAACTGAAGATCCCCTAGAAGAGCTTCTCCAAAGGAACTTGGATGCTTTTGTGAAACTTCAAGATGAGCGCATTGCAATTACTAAGGTATCTATACATTAAGCTTTTAATGCCATTCTGTGCACGAATAACTGCTCCCCTTTATGACAATCTAAGATTTCAGTGGCTTGGTCTTTTTTTTTTTAAGTTTGAAACCTTGCTAACCTTGGAAGGTGTGTAGACCCCTCCAGGCATATACATACTCTGTATTAAAATTGTACGTATCAGTCTAGATTGCTAACATTGCTCCGCCATTGACAGAGAAATGCTTGGGCATTCCAAACTAAGAACCAATGCCTCCGAAACTTTGTTTTTGTAAGAGAGATGCAGACTTTATATACTCTCTGTAAAAAAACAAAGACTTACCATTACATATGATACTTGATCCCATAAAGTAAGTGAATTCCTGCCAAAGATTGATGAGAACAAAAACCTGCAAATATCATGACAGGATTACGATTCACTAAGTAGGTAACAGCATCTGCTGCAGCACTTGTATTTTTCTCAGTTAACAGATGTCATAACTACATTGTGGTGGTCATCTACATTGATATCACGGTGAAAATGCAAATATCACAGCAGTGCATGAAGAACATTAAAGGTCACACAAGTTTTACCTCAATCACGGAAAGTACGTGAATTTAATATCGATGCAAGCACAATTTTCATAAGCAAAGTAAATTTAGTAGAAGAAAAGCTCCTTCAATTTTGCGTAATACCACATACCTACTCCGGAGTTTGAATAGTTGCTTGCTTCAATTCTGACTGTTAAAAATTAAGAGAGTGTGTTTTTCATCTCAATATCTTCAGAGGCATGCGATATTGCAAGCGGATTCTTTAAGTCCAAGAACATTGCGGGCATTTCATCTCGGTTTGATGCAAAATGAGCTTCCTACCTACCTAGCAATTTTGCAAGAAAATATGAGAAATCACGCGAGAATCACCGCAATATTGCGGCGAATCCGCGGTTGTTCCTGATGTATTACAAAATGCTTAAAAATTACGCATTCCTTACTGCGTTACCTTGCGTGGCATTTATGCAAAAATTACAGAGGCTTATGAAGAATATTTTTTTTATTATCAAATCTTTTATTTGTCGATATAATTCAGCTGGTTACATGTATCTTATAACTATAACTAATTACAAGAGCGGACATCATTATCTACTCGTTCATTATTAGTCCTCCTAATCTCCTAAGTGGCTATGAGATGTTGTTATCTTCTCTTGACAATAATTTAGGAGCGACATCTAATACAGTTTATCTCCTATTACATACGTTCTGGTGATAAGGATTTCCTAATAAAAATGATCGACTTGCTTGGCTGTAATGAGTCAATGTTCTAATTTCCTTCGATAATAAGATTATATGATAAAGCTTTGTCTTCTATAGAGTATTTAATACTTTAAATGTTTAATTTAGTAAAATGCCTTAAACAAAAAAAACCTGCGTTGGTTAATCAATGCCAACTTTTACAGGAAATGAATGAGTTCTAAATGATACGTGCATTGCAATCTGGGACTAATTAACCCAAAACTTTATAAAACAAAACAAAAATAAAGGAGGGGGGGCCACAGGGGTCCCCAAGGTCTCTGAGTATGAAGAATATTGAAGATCACACAATTTTAACTCCAATCATGGAATATACGCGACTTTAATATCGATGTGTAAATTAAGTCATGACTCCCAGAAGTTAGTGAAATGAGCCCAGTTTGCTTCCTTCAATCAAAATTTTGTATTATGAGTATTTATTAGTTGTGCTTTCCTTTTTTTTTTTCAGTATATTTCCAACCTTGCCAAACTGAAACTCCGCATTGACAAAGATCCTCTGCTAGTTGCAAGTCAGTGCCTTGCACTAAAAACCAGAGCGCCTACTTCTTTGGAAGCTATCACACAGGTTTGTTCCATATTCAAGCAGTATATTGACGGTAAAACTGCAAGACCACGTATCTTGGTTTGCGACGTTGTAGACTTCCTGTTATACATTATTTTTCAAATGGAAAACTACTCAACACCAATTCTTCAAAATATCCCTGTTTTTTCTTCTCTATGCGAAGAGAACTCTGTGAAAATTTCAAGAAATGATATAAATTTGTCCTCTTTTAAAAAGATACAATGGGAGCAGAGATTTTTAAACACTGCAAACGAGGTACATGGTCTGGTAGTTGCAGAAAATTTGATATTATTAGGGAAAAATTACATTCTTGGCTTGTTGTCAGAAAATAAAAATGATAACGAAAGATCGGACACTGCCTCTTTTTAGCGGTGACAGGAACTGTACTCAACTTGAGTTTTTTACATAAAAATTCAGTTACAAATGGGGCCGTTGTAAACTTTTCTTTTAATATTTCATCTCTGTAAAGTACGTAATAAAATGCGGTTTTCCGTTTTTCATCAAATCAAATTGTCGCCATAAAAATAAACTAACAAAGTCGCCAATATTCCAACCTTGTTCGCACCTTGATTGTGGCCTAAGCCTGTACGCTGAACACGGAAATTTAGTCTTTGTCGGCACAGGGCTTCTACGAACAGGAAAACAGGGAATACCCAGGGAATAGAATTTTGAGGGAAAACACAGGGAATTCAAAGTCAACTTCTGGAATTTTCGTTTTTTCAAAATCTGCGGGTCTCATAAATTCTTTTTTTCCCTTTAAATCCCATTTTGCCTAACTCAATTACAGTTTTTTGACAGTTGTTCGGACGTTGAAAAATTACTATTTATCGGATTATAAGTAACAGTCAAAAATTATCATGAAATGTCTGTGAAGCATGGTTTCTGAAAGTGCATTTATTTACACATTATTACAATCTAATATTTTTTAGAATAGGATTGTGGGATAGTGAAGTTGAACAAGAAATTTAGAAGGCAGGAGTAGCCTCTCTAAGTCATCAGCTATTAAAACCCTGGGTCAGTGATTGTTTTTCACCCCTGATTCGGATGAGTTGTCGCAGAGAATTACTTTATGATGCCATCACTCAGGGAAAATACAGGGAATTTAGAAGTTGAAATAAAGAAAAAACCCTGGTCACCAGGACAGGACAATAAGTAGCTGAAATTGAGTGCGTAATTAATCTGTTTCATTTTTTCCTTTTGTCATTGTATCTGATATGGGACTTCAGGGTGATCAACAATTGATAATCAATATCTGACCGGATAAAGGTATGGAATTGAGATGAAGTGACGCAACTGATCTACATTTTCTATTCATTTCATCGTAGGTCTTCTACGTACTTACCCTCTATATCACCATTGATGTTTCCTTCTTGTCAAAATGACTAGAAGGAAAAAATTTCCGAGACTGAATATGAAAAATTAAGTAAATTGTGGTTTTTAAGTTAAAGCTCTGATTCTAATTATAGTATTCAATTTGTTGCACTTCAGTGTGATGGATCTAAGTAGCCAATATTCTACACTTGAGGTGTCAACATTTATTTTTTCTTGGTAACAATATGAACAGAGTATCTGAAGTTTTCTAAACAGTACTTCATTTTTATTTTTTTGTTCTCATGAACTTGATTACAGGTTCCCCCGGACCCAAGCTTATATTGCGATAGTGTTAATTTTCAAAACTACAACACACGGAAAGTCCATTCAAAAGATACAAAGGAAGTAAGACTGAAACAGCTCTCCTCTCCCAATAATTCAGGAAGCTCTGAAAATAAAGTACGCGGCAAAGTAGTGGCAGATGAAACCAAACCAAGCTTTAACAAGGTGAGTTTTACCTATTTTAATATCCAACACGTTCTATCTATGTATCAAATACAGTGTTTAAAACTCAACTTTGAGTTTTAGGAGCCATGCGGCGCATCAAGCCCGATTTTTAGGCGCCAATAGGGGCCAAATTGATTTTTTGCCCATAGGTATATTACGGTGCACTTAGTGAAAAGTTAGACGCAAGATGTTTTCGTAACAGAACTAGCAAGTAGCTGTAACTTGGGGAAGACAAAAGCACTGAAGATGAAATTGTGAAGAATAGAAAAAGCTTTCACTTGTAGTGCTGAAAATTTCAAATAATCGCCCTTAATATGAAAATTCAGATTTTTAGTGGGGAAAATTTTAGGGGCCACGTTGGCACAGAGCCTTCATTTTTTAGGCGCCATGGCCGATTTTTTAGACGCATTTGGCGCGTTGGTGCCTGTGAGTTTCAAACACTGATCTAATAACAATAGGAACTGAGCCCTCAAACCAAGTCATAAGAAATTGTGGACTAATTTGATAAATAGAATTTAAAACAGTAAGATGTTTTGTCCAGCTAATATTTTCAATTATTAAGAAGGTTGGTGTAAAAAGGCCCTCAGCCCAAAGTACGCCTTTGAAAAAAGTGGCCTCCACTGATTTTTTCCGTCAGAAAGACCTGCATCTTTCACTTTCCACTAATGTGATGATCAAGTTTTATATTTTGCCTAGTTTCCAAGCATTATTGAGTCGCTTTTTTTGCTATGGCTGCTGCAGGAAGCTAACAGTCCAGATTGGAACCCCTTTTCAGCACTTTCCTAGCACACAAAGGAGGAGGAAACGGAATAGGTAGTGGTGTCTGTTTTCCTTCCTCATGCAGTTTTCTACCCCGGATTGTTTCTATCTGTAACTGTCGGACAATTTTTAAACTTACTCCCTGGAAGACTAGTAGCACTGTTAGTCCTGTTTGGTTTATCATCTATCTCGTCGATTGTTAGGTTTTACCAAGCTAATGTTTTTATTGCTTGCATTCGTAATTTCACTGTATTTTAACCCAACTCTGGTTTATTTCTATGCTGCGAGTCATTTGGTGTAATGTTCATCAGTCAACTTTTTATGCTAATAAATGTAGGTTGTGCATGCTACAAAGATACTTTCACTCAGAAGCAGGTGAGCGACTTCAAGTGGTAGACTTTAAGTGTTTTTACGTAGAATTTTTCTTTGAAGGTGCTACTTTCATAGAATTTCTCTTCCTAAGTGCTCCCTAGTAGAATTTCTCTTTATCTCCAGTAATAGATGATTCTCTGATTTCAGCTCTGGTCGGAAGACGAACAGCTCTTGTTTGAGCATTTACTAGATGTCTATCCTCTCGAGAAATCCGAGCTAGCCAGGTGTAAGAAAATTGCTGATGCTATGGGTAAGACCTCACCTATCTTTCTGAAATTGTTCCGTATAACTCCTAATAGTTTTATCAATGTTTTTGGATGCTTTATTGAATTATTCTTTCCTTGGTTTTTTCTTTCTATTATCAAGAAACTTGCAGGTATTTACATGTAAATATTGCATGCAATTAATCAAATCAGGCATTTTCTCGAATCCCAGATTGAAATCCTAACTCCTCTGTTGATTTTGGACAAAATAAATATTTGTCTTTATTTCTATGAAGACAAATATTTATTTCCAAAAATTCCTCTAGTGAATTTCCTGAATTATCATACAGTTCCTTTCTAGGAACCGTTTTCAGAAATTTGCATCATGTTTTGGTTGCTGTAATGATTTTTAGCCCAAAAATTGAACATTCATTCCAAAAAAACAGCATTTTTAAAATACAGAGTTTTTACAATTTTGATGGTTAAAAGTATGTAAGCACCTTTTTGAAAAGGAAAATACAATCCTAGTTTGTAGTTAGATAAGTTACTTTCAGAATATTAAAAGTTCAAAAGCTCGTTTGTAAAAACATACAAAACTTGTTAAAATTTCAAAATTTGGGTGTCTCCCTAGGCATTTGATAAAATGCTTGTTTTGACTATTTGTCTGGGACATTACCACAGAACTCTAGGACTATTTTAAACCAAAGTATTGCAAAGCACTTGGGACCTGAATATGCTATTTTCAAGATCTTCACCTTGAATATCAGAAAAATTTAGGTCCTGTACTGCTGTGGTTTTGGTATAGACACTGTGTATTCAATTAAAGAAAAACTTCGCTACATTTTGCTGAATCTGACTCATTTGTAAAAGTGCATTTTTGCCTAGGATAACTAGTACATAGCACATGCGTTGTTTCCAAAATGAGCTGGAAATTGTACATCGTTTATTATTTCTAAAAGGAGTCCAATTTTAATTTGTAAAATTTGATAATCTTTGTTAGTTTTGTGTAGGGTTGGGTGAAAATATGTTTTGAAACTATTTTTGTCACAAGTTCTGAGTTCAAATAAGAATATTATCAAAAATATTCAAACCTAAATATTTGCCTTGCACTAATGTTGTGCTCTTACCTGTAATGATGGATCATTTCTCATTTTTGTAGGTACGAGAACGCCTCAGCAAGTGCGAAGTCGAATGCAGAAGTACTATCTAAAGTTGAAGGTCTTCAATAAGTATCAGGAGAAGGCAACAGCGAAATCTACACTCTATAACAACAGACATTTAGCCAATCTGTCATATAGAGTCAACAATAAAATGTTCCGCTCATCCACATTTTTACCACGCTACAATGTTAGAGAGAGCATTTTCAATGACTGCATGGACTCTCCATCCCGACGTGATGAAAGTGTTGTAAAAGCGGAATTGGATCCAGAACTTAAGTCTGAAATATTATCTCAGCTTGAAGAGTTTCAGTTGCAAGATTCGGATGAAATGTCTGCCGAACACATCGGATATAAGGTAAAATTCTTGTGTCCTTATTTTTTTCCCCCTTCGTACTTTTTATCAAAGAAGAAGAAGAAGCAGAAGTAAAACCGTGATAGAACTACCTCTGATCCTAGGATTTTTTTGCTTTACTAATTTTTAGGATGTTACGATGATTTTGGTCGAGCTTGACATTGCTAAATTTTCTGGATTTGACCTGAAGAATTGTCAACTGCATTATTTAGTACGTCTTACTGCAACTATTAAATGGGTATAGAAGTGATTTTAGCAAGTCCCTTTGAATTTAGTCTAGTCAAACTTTTACTTTACTTTTATATTTGTTTGATAAGGTTTGCTAGTGTGATTTCTTTTTAAACCTGTGGGCTCTCTGTTTCCCAGGGTATAAAAATGTTGTACAAGGACACCCTTGGGAAGCAAATATGACTGATACATATTTAGATCTGCAAATTATGGCAAATGTGAAGTAGATTAAGATGTGAGGCAAAATCATAACTTTCAAAAAGAAAATTCAAAAATTGAAGGGTTCTAATTGTCAAGAATGAGAAAAATTGCCAGTTTTGCCTTGGCATAGAAACGCTAGATCATAAGAAATAATGAGCTTTTGGAGCCTCTTGCACCCCAGGTTTGCTCATATCATCCTGGCAGGAACTTAAGCCTATATTACCGATTCAGTTAACAGGACGTCTATCAAGTATTATCCCTTTTAATGGATGAGAATTCGGTAAATGTGAATCAGCCTTTTTGTTTTTAGCCTACATTGTTTTATAATATCTCTGCGACTGATCAAATAAAATCCAAATTATTCCATTATATCAAGTTCACTGCGAGATTTACAACTTTAAGTCATTAGTGTCCATGGTAGACCAATCCTCACGGTAAAATTTTGGTCATGATTACCTCAACCACGTTTCTTAATTCGGCCTAGGAACTTTTCATTGAAAATATCCTTGACTATCTGATTCATCTGTTGTTTCAGTGTGCAGCATGCGAAGAAGACCCGATTGTTGGCCCTCGCTGGCATTGTGTCTTGTGTATTCGACGCACTGATCTTTGCTGTGCTTGCATGAACGAGTATGTCAAAACTCCGGAGGTTTTTGCGTCTGAGCAACATCAAATCTCACACCCCTTTGAAGTCATCCTCACGCCCATTTCAGGTACTTTTAACGACCCGGACTATTTAGTAGATAATTTTGATTCAAATAATTATTTGGATCCTAACTTTTTACCAGAGTAGGTCATCCTCTATTTCTTTGATCAATTTTCAATTACATGTTTGCTGCTGTGTACGTGTTCTTCAAACAAAGAAATATTGTAGAACACCTGTAAAGTTTGTAACTTGCAGATAATTACTTGCGTTTTACATCATTCTTACATCATTTTTTGAGCGTTTCCCAAAACCACACAAAGAAGGAAAATGCAATATTAGTGTCGATAATTTCTTCAATCACCATGCCATTTTTTTAATATTCTAATGGGTCTATAGCTTGCTTAATGCAGGCTTCATCAGCTTTAATAAGTTTCAAGGCTTAGGTGCATAAATCACTCATGTTCTGCGATTTTAAGCCTCCCAGTTTACTATAGAATGCGGTCGGAGAGACAATCAATGCAGGTATTCTCACAACTACATCGCCGAAATTTAGGCTCAATATTCACTCCTCAAAGAGGATACTATGATAACTGCACACTCCCCTACCCATTATTAATTTGCAGCAGAAATTCTCTTCACATTCAGCCTCCTGTGTTGTAGTGGTTGTAGCAATGGCCCTACAACCAAGAGGTCCCAGATTCGATTCCCGGCCAAGTGACCTGAGTTTGATGGTCTCAGACAATGGTCACCTGGGGCTGGTGGTAAGCGTGGGATTAGCCAATGGGTGCTATTTGAAGCTTTGGAGAAAAAAAAAAAAAAAAAAACATTGATTAAAAAAGATTTTCATTTGAAGAACTTCATGCTCTGAATGGACAAAAGGCCTGAATCATTTGCGGCATCTCTGCTTTCTGGCAAGTGATCGTTATCTCAAGTCATTACAACCTTCTTACCTAGTGGCAAGAGCATTTAATCGTGAGGTATGGGTAGTCAGGTGCTTACGTCGCTAGCTCTTTTGTAAGATAAATAAGTAGGCTTTCCTACCATACCCTACGAAGCCCTATTGGACGCAGAGTGTTGTATGTACCCACTCTTCTACTAGAAAACAACATCTCAATGTAGCACGTCCTTCAGCTTTGCAGCTGATCCAACTGCAGCAGCGGCCCGGTTGTTGGATCGAGCGCTGAGGCTGCGTGGGGCTCACCTGCAAGCCTCCATCCCGTCCACTTATCACGGGAAACCGCAAGGAAAACCGCGCCGTGAATGCGTTCAGACGCCGTACAAAGGGTAGCCCTGAGTTGAGTATGTGTCATGCTATCTGCATCACCCCTATATTTCTTTCATTCAAGCGGTTCTTGTACGGCGGCTCATAGAACTCATCGGTTTTTCACATCTTTCGGAAATCTTTGGTGTTTATTTTCTATTGTTTTAGAAAACTGCCAAAAATTGTTCCTTCTAAGCTCAGCTTGACATGCCATTATGTCTGAGTTTCAGTTGATAGATTTTCAGTTTTTAGTCTAATAAAGAAGCGGACTGAAATTTAAACTGCAGAATCAGTTCAAAATGTAACAAATCATAGAAACGGATTGAAAAAAGAGAAAAGATTCTCTGAGAAAGAGATGTCTGTTTTGTTTCGTTCCATTGTAATGATTTTCTCAAAATACTTAGCTGAAATAACCTGATATAGACGTTGCCTGTGGGTGAACTCTTCGCCAATTCGCTGCCGAAAGTCATAGACTCTCTCTTCAATACATCGCTCAAACCTAGTACACATGTTGTGCAAGAAGAAAGGGTAGGACACAATTCCTTACAGGTGAAGATTTACGAAAGTGGAATCGTCTCGGCGAAATCGACCGAGGAACCGACCAAAAAAGCGAGTATTTTATCTTAGTTATTTTGCATGGCGAGATTGCCGTCTTAGTTCTATTACTAGTATTTTCAATCTTTAAGTCTCTTTATGGTTGTATCACAGCCTGAACAGAAGATTTTTACCCATGCATTGTTACATTAATCTCAAAAGCGTAGATTAGGTAAGACAAAAATTACGAGAACAACTAGTGAAGTCGAGGATCAGGGAGAAATTGAGGGGGGGGGGATTACGAGAACAACTAGTGAAGTCGAGGATCAGGGGAAAATCGGGGGGAGGGGGGACTNGCTAGAGGGGGGACTTATCGTGCTCGGCGTTGCAATTTTTCTAAATAAGTGCACAGTTTAAGTCTTGCTTGTGCAGTGAAAAATGCAGTAAGAACAACATAAGATTTTTTGCTTGGAATAATCGCTTCCTCGGTTGCTTTAGTAGTTATTAACATTACCTCATTTGAGATGGGATGAAAGCTTTAGATGTCGACTGAAGGGTCCTGGAACATACCAGCCATTTCAGTTACTCGGGGGACTTATCGTGCTCGGCGTTGCAATTTTTCTAAACAAGTGTACAGTTTAAGTCTTGCGTGTGCAGTGAAAAATGCAGTAAGAACAACATAAGATTTTTTGCTTGGAATAATCGCTTCTTCGGTTGCTTTAGTAGTTATTAACATTACCTCATTTGAGATGGGATGAAAGCTTTAGATGTCGACTGAAGGGTCCTGGAACATACCAGCCATTTCAGCTACTGGGGGGACTTATCGTGCTCGGCGTTGCAATTTTTCTAAACAAGTGTACAGTTTAAGTCTTGCTTGTGCAGTGAAAAATGCAGTAAGAACAACATAAGATTTTTTGCTTGGAATAATCGCTTCTTCGGTTGCTTTAGTAGTTATTAACATTACCTCATTTGAGATGGGATGAAAGCTTTAGATGTCGACTGAAGGGTCCTGGAACATACCAGCTATTTCAGTTACTATTTGGCCTCAGTGTAATTGACACGCTGCCTTTTTTTTTTTTTTTTTAAAGATTTATATTTTAAGCTTCCAATACAGGAAATATATACAATTAGCTTAAATTATAAGTAAAGTATGTAGAAGTATCAACCGATTAATTACTTAATATCATAAGAGTTAGCCTTCGAAATGAATTCAGGAACAGTTTTGCCATTAATCTAAACCAGGCCGGGCCGATAGCATTCGGCGGGTGCTGTGGCGTGCGGCCACTTCCGAGGCCCGTCTGCCGTTTTATACCGTCAGGACGGTATTTTTGTCCTCTCCAATGCGTGTGCAGCCGAAGGAAGTATGCTCCGGAGTATCCGGGGCAGACAGGCATAGGGGGCACAGAGGGGAGGGGACAAGTTTAAATCTAGATAAGTACGAATTAAAAACTTCCGACAGTTGATCTTGGAGCATGGAATGGCGGATACAGGCAAACCAAAGTGTTCGGGAGCGGAAAAGTTGCTTCCAAGGATTTCGCTGAGGATCTCGTTCCGTGTTGCTGTCGAATTAGAATCAGGTTGGGCGCTGGAAGAATGCGGGAAGAATGAGTGGATGTAGAAAGCTATCAGCAAAACCAAGCTGATGAACGACAACGTGGTCAAGAATTGTCTATCATCATTGTAAACTCGTTTGCCTACAATGGTATTAATAAGTGTGTTAGTACATGTAGCTTCCGTTGGAATACATCCCACGAGCAATATTGACAAAATTAAACTTATTATTATATTTCTAGTAAATTTATACAACAAATAAACAACAAATAAAATGAAGAATATCTGGTAATTGCTATAAATGTTAACCAAATGTTTATAACTATCTTTGATTTTAAATTCAGACAATTTAGTATAAAGTTTAAAATGAGGAGTTTCAAAAATGTAATCTACTATTTTACTAGATCTCCTCTCTCTATGATGTTCATTATCTGTTATGTATTTCATCACTACGTCTCCTTCTTCATTATTTGTGAAAAGAGCTTCGTCATGAGATACACATCTTGAATATTGAACATGGTTATTTTTAATATGAATCTCAAGATATTCTTCATTGTAATTACATATTTTATTTACATTATGTACATGTTTTTTACAAACACTTCCATCTACTGGGCATCCAGCATTTGGTGGATATGATTCACCTCTAACGCATCCATGTTGTTTGTGGCTGGTATCCTTGAAGATAACCACTCGTCGCAGTGGTCCGTGCATTTCTACAACTGCACTCTCACACAATAAAGTTTCTGCGTTGATGTAAGTAAAGCACATTGCACTAACTAACACCAGCAGAGCTGCCTTTTGCTTGAACATAGCACAAATAGCAGTAGCCAAAACAACATAATAATGTCTGTGGTTTAGGCTACTGGAATTGGTGTATACTTGTTCCGGTTCGTCATTTCTTTGGAACCACATAAACGAGCGGTCGTAATCAATCCATACGGCTTCTCCTTTTGCTACCAGATGTTTGTTCTGGTTTATGACATTTTGTGTCCACCAGTTTGCCTGTCCGTGCTTTATCCAATGTGGTTTTGTAAAAAGCAGGTATCTCTGTGGCATACAAACATCACTGTCCAAATTTTGACACTGGTCATCTTCTGTAAGTAATGCGTGGCACGTCTGGTTTTCAAAGAAGAAGTTCTCTCCACATCTCCATGTAGCTCCCATCATTTGTCGGCATTCATTTGCAAAACAAAGAGGCAAGAATAGAAGTAGAATAAGTGAATAATAGAGCATGTTACTCCATTTAACCTCATTTCTGGGACTAAACAAGTAACGACACTCTCCAATTCTCTCATCTCCAACTACCCCAACAAATTCGTTTTGGGTGTTGTACATAGGAACTCCAGGAGATTTCCAATCTGTTACATTTATTATTGGCATTATCACCTCTCTTTCTTTACAAAGCGTAAATGACTTCTTTGCCATTATTTCAAATGCCATCTCTCTCTGATCGTAAGAATGAATCATATCCCCAACTTCAACCGCCTCAGATTCTAAACTAGTGCACACTCTTCTACCGAAAGTTGGCTTTTGGTGTTTTTCACATATGTCATCCTCTTCAAGATGGCACCACTCGGCTAGCATCATTGCATCCCAAAAATGTGGATACTTTAATTCCTCCCTAATGTTAAAAGGAGTGAGGGTATTGCATTCAAATATACCTACTGAAGAAAAGTGGTCCTCGCGGTAAAGCTCAAACAACCTGTATTCATCTTCATCAAATACATATACAAAACGCTTCATCCTCTCTTCCGTTTATCATTAAAGCGTCAAAAGCATCTCTCAAGTGCTCTCTAATAGGTGTTTCCAAAAATTCCACCCACATCTGTTTGATCCTAAACTTGTGGTCTGGGATCAAGTTGTAACTAGGCCTCCTACAATTTGATAGACAGTAGAACGGCGAGTCGTCATCACTAGCTGGCATCCAAGGTTTTGGTGATTCCTTGGAATGCCATCTAGTACCTTCAATCCTGCCTCCTAGGACAAGGTTGTCTGATGTACCCTGCAGTATATAGTTTCCTTTTACACTACAAGTCACAGCAGACACCAATTTTCCATCTGCATCAAATATCGGAGTACCACTCACTAAGCACCCCGGATGTCTAAAGTACGGTAAAAATGCTACCATCGTACTTTCTTTGTTTACATTCGTAAACATCCAGCCAAGCACCTCCACTTCAGGCCCTGCTTTGCTTCCAATATGGAGTTTTTCTCCCACTCCAATTGGCTTATTCTCGATCATGTTGGAGTCAATATCTCCTTTCTCCAACTCCACTTGGCGAGTGTGCTTGACGTAGCACTTGCTCTTACCCTTGTGGTAATACACTCCTGAAGCGTTTTCGCTCCATCCGTCTTCGAGTGGTACTCTAAAGTACTCTCCAGACCACTGGTCTTTAGGTCTTGTGAGAGAGGGAATTGCATTCTTCCTCTCAATTATTTTTGGTTGTTTTGCAACCCTAATATAGGATTGCCTACACTCTTTTACAATTTGAGTGTAACTTTTAATAATTTTTGAGGTGGAAACCACCACCTCTCTCTCAACCACTGGCGCGGGTGTCTTGAGCGCCGTGGAGTAGGAGACATCGCTCCTTGTCTTTGGTGTCACATCAGTGACTGTCTTTTCAACTTTTGGCAGTCGCTTATACCAAGCGAGTGCCTTTCTAATTTCCTCCTCCTGGGAAATTGTCTTTTTAACAGGTTTAACCTGTTTTGTCTTTTTCGTCGGCGGTCTTGATACCGACGCCTTCGTGTCTTTTTTAGCCTGTTTGAAGGTGTTACAGGCTACCGCTGTTTCGAAAGCGGTCCTACAGTCCATTCTGTAATAAGCTGCGGTCTTATTGAGCTTATTTTTGTGGTAGGCTCCGTTAACCTCCCTTCTCAGCAGGTCACCGTCGAAGCGGTAACCCTTGATGGCTAGGTGAACCCAGTCATCGAATGTCTTTGTGTGATTTTTAACATGGTCACACGCCATGTTCTCAAATTTGACAATAATATTGTCTTTTTCTTTCGACTTAAAAGTCGAGTCTTTTAGTTTGCCTTCGTATACGGCAAGGCAAGCCGCTTTGGCAGCATAATACTGCCGTTGTTCGGAGATTGATGTCACTCCGGTTGACAAAACCTTACCATGCCATTTTTCAATGACATGTTTTTTGGCCAGAAATGTGGCCTTCAGGTCTTTGAGGCGTTTCGCCTCTTGGGGTCCGGGCCCTGGTACCAGGGACCCAGTATCCCCACCCTTGTGGCGGGCCTGGTGCCAGCTCTGGGGGAGCGCCTTCACGCGCCACCAGGCTGCTCATCTTGATTCTACCTAGATTTTTGGTAGTTCTGGCATCTCGGGCAGGGGACTGCCATAGTTTCTCGGCCGCCCGCGTCGTCCCGCGCGACTCCGCGGCGCCGGTCCAGGTGCAGGTGCCTAGCACTTATACTACACGTACTACTCTAAATCCGCTCCATAACTACATGATGAAAGCAAGATACACAATTACATTGCAAAAGAGTATAACGTAAATGAGGTTTAAAGTTATATTCCTCCATAAGACTGCACATAAAAACAAACTTTGAGCCCAAGTTTGAATCTTAATATACCTACTTTTTTTTTTTTTTTTTTTTTTTTTTTTTTTTACGACTTCAAATACCACACAAGTGGTAATTCTTAGAGCCCCTCCCCCCTCCATCCGTACCATGTACCAG